GAAAACATGTCTCTTTCTGGGGATAACTCACCAGTTTCACATGTTTTGTGGGCATGGGGCATAATATGAATTATTAGGTGTTAAATAGACTAGCTATGCTAGTGTGACCATGACATGAGGTATAGTTTCTGGCATGCCATTCGTGAAATAAAAAACAACAACCGGCTCAGTATACCCTGTCGCACCCTGCTTTTCATTGGCATGACGTTTTCGTGCCATTAATCACCACACACACACACACTGCTTGCAGTCATGAAGAAAGTCTCCAATCCACGATAGGACACTCCCCTAAATTCCGTATCGTTTCAGTTTAATTTTAAACCTTTCATGGGGTACTTTGTCGAAAGTCTTGGTAAAGTCCAGATATATACAGTGTTGTACTGGCTCTCTGTAGCCTATATCAAGGATTACTGTTTATAGTCCTTACTTTACTTTTACTTTTATCCTCTTCACCACTGATCGGCTCGTTAGCCGCTTGGGCGATCGGTCACGTCTCTAATTACTTTTCCTTATGTGAGTCCTATCTTCAAGAAGGGCGATCGTCACTCCACGAACAACTATAGACCGGTGAGCCTGATCAGCATACTGTAATATGTAAAGTACTTGAGAGTATTATCAGAGATGCCGCGATGGAACATCTACTACGAAACAACCTTGTAAAGGATTGCCAACACGGTTTTATGCTGGGGAGCTCCTGCTTAACACAATTGCTCAAGGTATTGGATATTTGGACCCATATTCTGAAACGGGGTGGTAATATCGACAAAATTTACCTAGATTTTGCCAAGGCTTTAGACAGTGTACCCCATCAAAGGCTGAAAATCAAACTGGAAGGGTACGGAATTCGGGGAAATGTCCTAGCGTGGATAGAAGACTTTCTACATGACTGCAAGCAGTGTGTGGTGATTAATGGCACGAAATCGTCATCCGTACCTGTCACAAGTGGGGTACCACAGGGCAGTGTATTGGGCCCGCTATTGTTTGTTTGTTTCATAAATGACATGCCTGACGTTGTACATTCCTCCATACAAATATTTGCCGATGACGCCAAGTTATTTCGGGAAATTAAGAAACAAGCGGACTGTGAAGAGCTGCAGAAGGACCTCTGTGGGCTCCAGGAATGGTCGAAGAAATGGCTGTTGAGATTCAATGTCACGAAGTGTAAGAGGATGCACCTGGGGCGTACCAACGGGAAGGAGGCGTATCATATGTCCCAATGGGGTGAAGAAACTGCACTAGTTGAGACTGAATGTGAGAAGGACCTAGGTGTGTATGCTGACAATGAGCTGAAGTTCTCGGGCCATTGCGAGAAGAAGGTAAACTAGGCAAATAAATTATTGGGTCTTATAAGAAGGTCGTTCAGATATCTAGACGGCCCGTCCGTCGTAACGATCTTCAAGAGTGAAGTGCTTCCCCATCTGGAGTACTGTCACCCCGTCTGGTCCCCGAGATATTCTAGGAACTGTCAGTTGGTTGAAAATGTTCAAATGAGGGCCACTAGACTGGTGCCTGCACTTCGGCACCTGAGCTACCCTGAGAGATTGGAGCGCCTGAACTTGCCTAGCTTATACTACAGACGGGCAAGGGTGACCTAGCTGAGGTGTATAAGCATCTCAGGGGGCACTACTCAGTCGAGAGTCCTTACTTGGAGTTGGCGGACGCTCGCCCCACAAGGGGTCACAGCTCAAAATTGAAGAAGCCGCAAGTCCAGAAAACTGGTAAGGCAAACTTTTTTGGAGTGAGGGTTGTAAACCCTTGGAACTATCTACCAGAAAGTGTTGTGACGGCACCGAGTGTGAGCTCTTTCAAGACAAGGCTTGATCAACACTGGAGCGGGTTCAGGTACATTCAGGAGCCGGTGCATGCCCAGTACTTGCCAACAGTGCGTGACAGAGACGTGACCGATCGCCCGGGCGGCTAGCGAGCCGATCTTTTGGTGAAGAGTTCCAAGAGTTTACAACCCTCACTCCGAAAAGGTTTGCCCTCACGGTTTTCTGGACTTGCAGCTTCCTTAATCTTGAGCTGTAACCCCTTGTGGGGCGAGCGTCCGCCAGCTCCAAGTAAGGACACTCAACTGAGTAGTGCCCCTGAGATGCTTATACACCTCAACTAGGTCACCCCTTGCCTGTCTGTAGTATAAGCTAGGCAAGTTCAGGCGCTCCAATCTCTCAGGGTAGCTGAGGTGCCGAAGTGCAGGCACCAGTCTGGTGGCCCTCCTTTGAACATTTTCAACCAACTGACAGTCCCTAACATATCTCGGGGACCAGATGGGGTGACAGTACTCCAGATGGGGAAGCACTTCACTCCTGAAGATCGTTACGAGGGACGGTTGGTTAAGTCTTGTCTTGAAAGAGCTCACACTCGGTGCTTGGCCTATACCACCCGAGTGGCTGGAAAAGGCGCCAGTGGCAAAGATAATGAAGTTATGAGACGGTAAATCAACTTAATACGTACCAATATGGTCCGTCATTCATAAGGCTCTTCAAAAGTTAAGTGCTTCTTCACTTGGAGTTTTTTTGCCTTTATCCTCTTCGCCGCCGATCGGCTCGTTAGTCAGTTGGGCGATCGGCCACGTCTCTGTTAAACACTGTTGGCAAGCACTGGGCATGAACTGGCTCCTGAATATATCGGAATCTGCTCCAGTGTCGGTCAAGTCTAGTCTTGAAAGAGCTCACACTCTGTGCCGTCACAACACTCTGGCAGATAGTTCCAAGAGTTCACAATACTTTATCCTTTTGTCTGGTCCGGATGGTCCCCAAGATACATTATGTTTGAGACTGTCAGTTGAAATTGAATGGGAGCGTCCAAAAAAGGAAGGCCACCAGAATTTTTTTTTTTTTTTTCGGGGATTAGCCCACCCTGGCACAGGTCACTGACCCACATCGGGGCCTAGGGGGCAAAAATGTAATAATAATAATAATAATAATAATAATAATAATAATAATAATAATGTGCAGTAAATAGAATTTATAATAAAAACACATAATTAAAAATAAAATAGTGAAATAATTATGATACAGGTAGCAATAATAATAATAATAATAATAATAATAATAATAACAAAGAACTATAAAGAAAAATCAGTAGTGAGAAATGATATATGTATGGTGTGTTGTCAAAGTAAGAGAAACAATTGAAACTGCAATTGTGTGTGAATGAGGCAGAGAGTCAGATCAGCAACCTGGGACTTGGTCACAATTTTCGTGATGCCATATAGCAGCAGGATCTACCATTAGACAACACATTATGTTTCCAATATCTTCCCAGGCGGTAGTACCTCCCTGTTTGGTAGCTGCCTACTACTACTACACCAACTGGTGCCTGTACGGCAGCATCCCAGGTAGTACCAAAAGAAAGATAAGAGTGCCGTGCCGACCAGTGACAGAGTCAACGAGAAGATAAGGTCGTGTAGTGGAATTCTCCCCTACAAACGCTGTTTGTCGCTGCCTAGCCGACCCCACCAATTCCCCAGTGTATGCCTCGTGGTCTAGGTCAACCAGCGCCGCCATACACCACGGAGCGGGGGTCAACTGCTAAGCCACGACTACCCCCGCTATTTAAGACCTGACCTCGTGGTGATCACTCTCTCTCTACCTACAGCCACAGCCAGCAACACTTCCTCCTCTGCCGCTGCCTGGCGGCCCTCGTTCCTCCTCCGCCTGCCTGGCGGTCCTCTCTCCCGCTAGCGAGCATGGCGACCCACAAGCTGTCCTTCTCTGAGCGTCCTCACCAACCAGCTCTCTCTACATCACGCTTGTAACCATGCTGCCTTCCCAGCACCAAGCTGCATTGTACATCCAATACAACATGTATATAGAGAGCACATTGTGAGTTTCCTTTCTCCATCCCATCCTGAGTGTGAACCAAACAATCTCATACCCCACAGTAGAGCTGAGTAAAAATTATGGTTAATTTACCCAATTTTATGTTTTGATTTACTCTTTTCATCCATCATAACTATTCATATCTATCAGCACAATTATACAATTATGCGAAGAACAGTGCAAAGGGCCCTCTTAGAATGCACCAATTACAATAATTTTCTTCTTAAAATTTGTGGGGTAGTTTGCTCCTATATATCCCTAGTGCGGGTGCACTGCTCATTCAACCACGGCATCGCCTCTACTGCATCCTTTCACATGCACTACAGTACAGTCCCATAGCGCCTCTGTTTGGGAGCCCAATGATACAGCCGTGTGTGTGTGCCTCCCCCTGTCCCTTGGGCGTAATTAATAAATGTTCATAACAAGGAATTGACTGACCGCTCGACGGGCTCGTAAGTTGGTAAGTGACCAAGAGCAAAAGGAAATAATATTAAAATGTGAAGACGTAATAAATAAATGTGTTTTGTATAAATATTTTTATGTTTATTTGGTTAGTTTTACCTATTGGAGAGATTAGAAATTGGAATCGTGTGAGGATATAATATATAGATCACTGTGTGGAGATAATATAATATCTAAGTCACTGTGATGAGGTAATATAATATATGAATGAGTGTGAAGCTATAATATAATATAATATATGAATCTCTGAAGAGAAAATATAAATCAAAATGCCGCAGGGCGTCTGTCTTCTGATGTGGACCTCATACATGTGGTCATATTTTTGTTTTTACACGAAAGTTATCCAAAGCTTCCGATAATATTAACTTTCAGATTTTTATTTTATTTTATACGATAAATTTTACGTGTATTTGATATTTATTGAAAACTGATGTATGTAGCTTGTAGTGACAAATGTTTGTGTAAAATTGTCTAACCCTTTCTACGCCGCTGAATGATGGCAAGACTACTAAGGTTATAAAAACACCACAAACTGAAACACTAAACTATTAACTTTTTAAAGAAGACAAAAATTAACATAAATCAACCTATTATAATAATTTTTTTGTTATTTTTTGTCATGAAATAATAGATTTGATACTTTAGCGTCTCCTAAAAGGTAAAGTGAGGGGATAAGTTAGTGTCGGTGTTATGAAGGAACATTAGTGAGTCAGGTGTTGAGGCGTCAGCTGCTGCCATCTGTCGAGCTGACGTGGCGTGAGGCGAGATGACTGAGTGTAAACATTCCTCAACATTCACCGATTTTTAAGCCAACTCGTCAGAATGATATCTTGGAGGACTTTAATTTTCGTCTGCAACTTATTGTTCGTCGTTGTAGGTGACGAACACACACATACGGTGAGAATATAAGGAGATATGGGTTAGTTTAGGAGGTCAGTGATCTCGGCAAGGTAGGTTAGGGGACGTGGATCCTCCTTACGGTGTATTGTAACCTTTTTGTTCATCATTTATCCTCAATAATAATGGTTGCAATGTCTCCAGCACATGGCAAACTGTCCTCAGTATAATACAGTAAAGTTGAGTATGGTGTTGATTTAAGTGAGGTGACAGTTATATCACTGCTTGCCTAGGGCCTGGCAGTGGTCCTTACTCTGGCCATGGCCCAGTAGGGTAATCCTGGACCATTTTTTCCATAGATGTTCTTTGGATGATAGTAAGTAATAAAAACGATACACCAATGCACAGAACTAAATAGAACCTGACATAACCAACAAAAGAAACCTACCTAACTTCCTAGGTGGGAGGTGTACCCCCCACCACATTAAACAGAAACTACTTACTTTGATATCTGGTATGAATAAAAGTAACTTTCTTGAAGTGACATAGTGTAAATTTACGTTTTTTGTAGACATGAGCGTACACTCAGACCGAACGACCCACTTGGTCCTAGCATAAACAAACAAAGAGCAGACAACAACATGCTCGGACATGACAGATTTTTTGGTGGAATATTTATGATAAATAATTAATTTCTTCACGTACAAAACACGTAGAGACATCATTTAGTGTTATAAGATCAGTTTTTCACTGTATTTTACCCCACAATATCCCTCATCCTTCATAACGGTACCCTGTCCACTGAGGTGATTTATGATTTTTATTACTTGCTATCATCCAAAAAACATCTGAGGGAAAAAATTAATGAAATCAAACAACTCCTGGTGCTAGCCATCTACTCCAATATAACTGGCAGTGGTAACTGGTGAAGTCGCCTCACAAACTCGCCCTCCTTACACAATATCAATGCTAAAAATTAATTAAAAAATACAGTACATTGCATCAACATGCCAACAATAAAAGTTTATTGGCTGAATTATGTTAAAAAATATACTAATACTAGGGTTAAAAAACTAAGTTACAAATAATATTTAATAAAAAGAATACATTATAAATTTGAAATTAGGTTTGGTGATTCTACTTTATTGTTGTAAGTTATACAGGGCCTGTATAAGTGACCAGCCTATCTAAGGAGTCTAGCAGTACTGTACTTATATTGTCCTGCTCATAATTTTCCCTAAGTTAAAAAATCTTTCCTTGCATTTGTTTGTACAGTAGCTAAAGCAACTATCTGTGCAGGTGGGGGTCGATATGCTCCGAATTTTTACGTGTAACTAGTGACAGCCTTCATATACCAATATTCATCGTCCATGGTCTCATATAGTTTCCCACAAAGTATGCACAGATAGTTGGTTTAACTACTGTACAATGATCTTTGGTATTAATCTGCCGATGCCACCCTTCGACATCATTGTTTTTTCTTATTGGCTCCTTAAATGCATTCCAAGAGACAATAGGCCAGATTCTGTTCTTTGTCCAATTCTCGTCTATAAGATCATTAAGAAATTAGGTGTCCAACTTATTTTTTGAAACAGAAGATGCAGGAGTGATGTGTTCAGTGGGCAGTAAGGGAAGGGCAAACTACATCTTCAGTAAGTGGTACGTGCCTTCTCTTCTGTATGGTGTTGACAAACCCATCTCCTGTATTTTCCTCCAGACGGCCTGGGACCAACAAGTCACTCCAGCAATAGTTACTACAGTATTACCCCGCTTTAAACGGTTTCACTTTACGAGATTCCACGTTTACGCGGTACCCTGCCAGAACCGGAATGCTCACTTTACGCGGTGTGTGTACTCTTTTACGTGGAGAGCGGCTGGAGGTCATCTCGCGCCGTGCCATTTTTGGATTCAAACCTCCCGCCATGTTGGGTAAGCGGCATGAGTAGGTTGCGCAGTGTATGTCTTTGTTGCGTTATCGGTGATGTCATATGACATATCGGACTGTGATTGGGCCAAGCATCCTTAACTCCCTCCCCCGCTAACTGTGATTGGTTTAATGTAATATGACGTGCCCCGCAGCGGGAGCGTTCAAGCCCGTTGACCTACCCGCGTCAGTTATACCCCTCCCGGCTACACAGTGTATATCGGTATCTATTGTTCCATAAGAATGGCTTCCACCGGACCACCACCACAAAGAAACCTTGCATTACCTGGACCCAGCCACCCTAAGCCAAAGAAGATACGACGTTCCCTAAGCTACGAAATTAAATACAAGATCATCCAAGAGTTGGAGAAAGGAACAAGACAGGTTGATCTCGCGCGCCAGCATGGTGTTAACGAATCTACGATCCGGACGATCAAGAAGATGCAGCCAAGATAAAAGAGCACATGAACATCACAAAGTCTACAGGTGCTTCTTTGATCAAGTATTGCCACAACCAGGTGCTTCTCAAGACGGAGAAATTACTTGTGAGCTACTTGATTCGTCAGGTAAGACGGAACATGGCGGTGGACACGCGCTCAGTTAAGGAGTACGCACGTGAACTGTATGCTGCAGTGTCACGTAAGATGGGAATACTCAGAGCCCAAACCCTTCAATGCTTCCTCTGGGTGGTTGCAGAGGTTTAAGAAGAGGAACAAGATCACCAACATTAACATTGGTGGTGAAGAAGCTAGTGCTGACCGTGTTGCGGCTAGGGATTTTCCTTGTTTTTACGTGAGATTATGGAGGAAGGACAGTACACCGATGACCAGGTGTTTAACGGACGAATCTGGTCTTTTTTGGAAAAAGCTACCTTCCAAGACCTTCGTTGTGAAGAATGCCAACAAGTGTCGGGGCCGGAAGTTGCAGAAGGAGCACATCACCGTCATGTTTACCACCAATGCTTCCGGTACCTGTAAGCTCAAGTTATCGGTGATCCACACAGCACGTAAGCCGCACGTCTACAAGAACATGGACATGTCCAAGCTAAATGTCCACTGGCTGACCGCACATAAGGCGTGGATGTTCTCTACTCTGTCCCTCTCCTGGTTTGATGACTGTTTCGTTCCCGACGTGAAGAAATTCTGTGAGCAACAGAATGTTTCATTCAAGATTTTGTTGCTGCTTGACAACGCACCAGGACACTGTTGGATCGTCACCCCAACGTAAATGTGGTCTTCCTTCCTCCCAACACTACATCATTAATACAGTCCATGGACCAAGAATTAATCTGCAATGTGAAAGCTGCATTCTCTGCAAAGAAATTTAAGCTCCTGAACGACTATACCAACACCAAGGATGAGTTGCGTAACCTGGGTGACACCGATAGCAAGAGCGAAGAGGACGAGGAACAACAGTTGGCAGAGCAAGAAGTACTTGTGAAACATTTTTGGAGAAAATTCAACGTCAAGAAAGCTGTGGACTTCTTGGTGGAGGCATGGGATCAGCTGTCTGTAGCAACGGTTCGTCACGCATGGAGACATGTGTTGCAAGGTATTCCAGGTGGGAGGCAGAGTCAATCTGTGACTGGTGAGGTTCAGACTGTTGCAGTAGCAGTGGACCTTACCAGAGAAGCTGCGCAGAGTGTTACAGCTGCAGGCTTCTCCGAGACCACCAACGACGACATTATAGAGGTGATAAGGGATCCTGATGTGACTGCCGACGAGATTTTAGATGATGATGACGTCAGTGAAGAGGCAGGTGGTGCGTCATCCCAAGAAGAACGCAAGTTATCACATAGTAATGTAAGGGGTGCCATCGAGTGTGTAGAGAAACTGAAGCTCCTCCTTTCCGACGACCCTGACGATAACCGGTATGAAGTCTTCACTACCCAGCTGTTGCAGAATATGGAGCCCTACATCAAGGTGTATCACGACAACACCAACACTAGCCGTCAACAAAGCATTACCAAGTTCTTCGCCCGCAACCCACCACAGCCAGCCCAAGCCAGTGATAGTGACAGAGACAGTGATGGTGACTTTGAGGGATTTGTCAGGGAGACACTGATAAGTGTGGATGACAGTGATGATTACTCACCTGAGGGCCAGTAGCCTGCCCTCTGCCTCGGAACCAGCCTCCATTCCCGTACGCCAACCCATCTCTTCTACTAACGTAAGTGTTAAACCTAACCTTGTTTTTTTCTAACCTAATCTACAGTATATTATTCTCTTATTGATTGTTCTCTTCTATATTGTGTGTGTGTGCATACCATCATAAAGTTAAGTTGTTATTTTTACTAAAACGTACGTATTGTGTCGGGAAAACGTGGAGCTTGGGGGTCGGCCCAGTCTGTATTTCAATTAATCCCATATGTTATGTTGTTCACTTTTCGCGTTTCTCGCTTTACGCGGGCCTCCGTGGGTTCAATTGACCTCGTAAAGCAAGGGTTCACTGTACTACAGTCCTTTGATATTTTGGAAAAGTTTTAATTAAAATGGAACTTCTTATGAATTAGTTATGGTGTCATTAACATAGGGAGAGCGAGTTTGCATCGGGACGATTTCTCCTGAAAGCCTGGCAATAGTCCTGAGTCTGTCCATAGCCTAGGGTCTGTCAATGGTCCTGAGTAGCCGTGGCCTAGGGTCTGATCAACCCAGTGCCTAACAATGATCCAGCAGTGGCCCAGAGTGTGGCCATGACCAATGATATGCAGTGGTCCAAGTTCTTGCTGTAGAGGCGTTCACCGTGGCTAAAATTAAAATTTTAGGTTAGAGGTACAGGTAGTTCTGCTATAACGCGATAATTGTGTTCTTGTAAAATGTCGTGTTATAGAAAATCGCGTAATAGAAATAACAGGGCTTATGGAGAAAATAGGGTTCGGTGCAGATTACTCGAAATCGAAAAAATTTAGTAGTTAGCCTAACACAAAGGATAGCACAGTCTAAATAAATGTTACATTCATATCTAATAATGAAATCATACAGTAAATTTAACACTTTACCTTCAAAAAATATGAATGTAACTTGATGGGGGAGAAGGGTGATTTTGAGGTTGATAACATCGAGCTTCTCTTCAAGTGTTATATCCTTTCTTTTACGATAATCACCGGGAATTCTATCATCAGAACGCTTTTTGGAGATATTCTTCTTTACCATATTCACAGTTAATACCACAAAATTGGAGAAATAGTAAGCAAAAATCGCGTTATAGCAAACAAGCGTTCGCGTTATACAAATATTGTTCCGAATTCATAAATCGCGTTAGAGCAAATTCGCGTTATCAAAACACGCGTTATAGCAGAACTCACTGTATTCATTTAAAAATAGAAGTCCCTTTTCAATTAATACATTTATTTTCAAACATAAACTTGTACAATTGAAGAAAAAAGTGCTTGATAGGCAGATCAATTTATAAACAAGGAAAAGCTTACCTCGCTTTCACAATTGTTTTTATTTTTATGTTAAATTAATTATGTTCCATGTGTGGTTTTCCTTTACATATATAACAATGCAAGATAAAGCTACTGAAATTTATTTGTATTATCCCTACAATATCATTACAGCCAATAACAATGCAAGTACAGTATAATACCTGAAGTCTCCATTATTATTAGTGAAATATAAATTTAAAGGAAACTATTTGACTCGACCTAACCACTTGTCACTGATATGATTTCTCTTATGACATTGACAATTCTAGGGACAACTCATGCCATTCACCACAACCTTTAACGTATCCGAGGTTATAACGTGGTCATACAGCAACCGTTCAGTCATTCCACCTACTACAACCAAGGGAGACCTACACCATGATCTCTCCCAGAGAGGGCAATTTGTCGGCAGGTGTAGCACCGGGATAAGTATCAGTGAGATCACAAGGCAGATCGGAGTCTCGAGATTGACAGTGCAGTGTTGGTTACAGCTGGTTGAAGAGTCTGGTAATTTAACAGATCTTCCTAGATCAGGAAGGCCTAGACTGACCAGCACAGCAGATGACGCGAGGATTGTGGCAGACATTAGCGACCATCCTTTCACCAATGCGATGACTCCATGGAATTGGGATCCACCACAGCAACTCATCCAGCACAACCTTGGCAGAATGGGAAGCATTGAGGAGACCATGTGTGGTTTACAACAAGGTGTCTTCTATGCCACATTCTTTGTGCGAAGTCATCAATAGGGAGGGGCCCGGTAGTTCCACCATGTGTGTTCGTGCGTGCATGTCTGCAACTTTGCCACATAACCGGGTTAGCCAGAAATGCACGGCAAAGGACTTAACGGAGACTATACGTTGGGCAACTTAACCCAGTACAATTAAATGTAAACCTCAAATCCATAATATTGTTTGGGTTTTTTTTACTTCTTTACTAACAAAATAAAGAAACTTTTTGTTAACATACTTTAAATACAAAAATACATTAAATACAGTCTTTTATGAAGTTGAGAGTTGCCTAAAAGTGAGGTACATGTATGAGTGATATCTCCCTTAGCCGGAACAATTGGTGCAGAGCACTTCCGGGAATGAGAGATTTCCGGGTAACAAGACGACTCTCAAAACAGGAAAAAAATCCCTCATCCCCAGAATTTTCTGGGTATCTAATGGACAAATGTTCTTGGAAGTCACAGAAATTGCACATTACATCATCTCTCAAAACAAAACAAAAAAACCCTTGTCCCCGAAATTTTCAAGGTAACAGAAAATGTTCTCGGGAGTTCCAAAAATTGCCCATTACATCAGCTGTCGAACCAGGAAAAATATCTCCCATCCCCAGAATTTTCCTGGTTCCGGAAAATTTTTCTCGGAATTTCCAGAAAATGCGTTTGATTTTCATTTCTCAAACCTGGAAAAGACTACCCCGTCCCGGGAATTTTCTAGAATCGGGAATATTTTCTTGGAATTTTCCGGAAAATCATTCTCAAAGCCGGAAAATTTTGGCTTTGGGGACGATATTCCAAGAAAATTTCAATTCCGGCTATTGGAGAGTTCCAGGTTTTAAGGGATTCCGGCTAATGGAGATATTACTATATGGATTTGTCTGTGCCCCAGCAGCTTCTTGTGACAGGATCACAGGCTATTTGCCACAAGTAGAATGTTGATAAATTACATTTATTGTCTAATTAAATAAACACAGTAAACCCTCGATAACTCGGCACATATGAGGCTCTTGCCTTGCTGAGTTATATCAAATTCCGACTTATCGAGACACTTTCCCCCTCCTACAAAAATATAAGAATACAAAAATATCGACCCATATACAGTATGTGTACATGTAATTACTAAATGTAAAAAAGTAACACTTGCTAGCACTGCAGGTGGAGAATGAATTACCATAGTAGGAGATATACAGTAGATGCATGGTAGGTGATGCAGGTGGCCAGAAATGCCAAGATTTTCCCAGATAATTTTATATATATCGGCATTTCCCGGGTAATATGAAATTCCGAGTATCAAATGCTGAGTTATCGAGGGTTTACTATACCTGCTGTTCATTACCGTGATTATCTTTATTTATATTTATTTGTATTAATAACATTATTTTCACACAGCTTTTGAAATTAATATTAGTTCAATTAGACCAAAGATTTGGTGTAACTTATACCAAATGCTACCTATGCCTTGTACTGTACTGTACTGTACTATCATGGAACAGTGATGGTTGATGGACCTGACACAGAATTTTGATGCTTCCTTGTTAGTTATTTTAATAATCTTCTCCCCTATTTCCATAAAAGAAAATAGTGTATATACTTTATGTGGTAGTAAATATTTTGTGAAATATATATTAACCAAACAAATCACATTTATAAACATAAAGAGAATAAAGATATAAAAGCATACTTTATACAGTAGATAATAGTATAGTATAGTCTATTACTGAAACACATTTGTAAAGTAATGATATTGTTTTTTCAGTATAAGGATTTAGAAGAAGTAGTACTATGGATGAACACAGTGGGCCCCTATCACAACCGACAAGAGACGTACTCCTATTTCTCTCTGCCATTTTGTGTCGGCCCCAAAGAGAAGATATCCCATTACCATGAGACCTTGGGTGAGGCACTCCAGGGTGTTGAGCTGGAGTTTTCTGGACTGGACATAGACTTTAAAAGTGAGTGTCTACTTGTATTAATCACTTTGTTTGAAGTAATTGAGGTACAGAACAGTGATGAAGTCAAGACAGAGACCATTTGTAATTTTAGCCTTTATCGATCACGGTAAGATTTGTCCTCCAGTTAAGCTATTTCAGGTGAGCACTTGGGGGCTAGTCTTATGGTAATCCATAAAGGATAAAATTACAAAAGCTCTTGTTCTTGGTCTAGACTACTGTACATCACTGGTGCAGAGGATAAAAGGAATTACGATAAGACACCGTTCACAGGCAGTCAACCAGCTGACTCGCAAATGTGTCTGCTATGACATCACATCGGGAGAGAGTGGGACCACGCATCTGTAGCCCACCGCAAGGAGGGATCCAGGGGGTCTTGGGGATTCAGACTCCACCACCCCTTTTCACCAGAAAATTCCAATACTTTTTCTTTAATGCAGTATTATACTCAGGGATTTTTGTATTGTAAAAAGTATTTACTATTAACCTCAGAATATCTCCTAATATCAAGTGCACATGGCTTCAAAATGGTCTCAAAATGCCCTTGATATTGGTCAGATTTATTTTGTGATTTATTTATTTATTTATTTTTTATACAGCACCCCCCACTCTCCCACACACACACACACACACACACACACAACCTCCCCCTGCTGGGTGGGCTCGCTGTGCTCGCCATGTTCCCCGGCCCACAACTTCTTGGGCCCCCTCTTTTGATATTCCTTGATCTGCCCCTCCACACATATACATACACACCCATTCTTTTCTTATTTTATATTTTTTATATTATATTCTCTTTATTTCAAAGCCACATTAGGGGATAGTAATGATTTATCCACAACTTTTATAGTGTTATTATGTGTACAGTAACAATCTACTGTATGAGGCGGTTGGGCTGGCGAGTCGGCAAAGCCGTTACTGTATAGCCCACCGTCTCCACACACATTCACTTCCCACACATACACACCCATGCTATTAATGTTTCTTGTTTTATAGTTTTTTATTCTTTTTTTTCTGAATTTCTAAGCCACATCGTTTATATAGAGTGGAAGAAGTGTTAATTAAGTCCGTTTTTCTGAGACATTTGCGAGATCGACCTGTACCACTGTGCATTGTAGGATTTATTGGGGGATCACAAGAGTGAGGTTCAACTAACAGTAAATATATAAATATATCTACTCCATTTCAGATGCTATAGCCAAAACTCCATATTGTGAAATTGAGCTAAATGAGGTTCGGCTGAAGACATTTGTTTACGCAGTGAAGAACCACTATTGGTACCAGATGTATATTGATGATCTTCCTATATGGGGTGAGTCTTTGATTATCATCTTCCCACATGGGGTGAGTCTTTGATTATCATCTTCCTACATGGGGTGAGTCTTTGATTATGATTTTCCTATATGGGGCATGTTACTGGTCATCCATTGGTTTTCCCAAACTTTCCGTGTTCTCAAAGACTAAGTATTTTTAAAGAAGGAAAAATGTCAAGGGTGATAATATTTGTGTCTTGGTATTAGGAATTATAATTGTTAATATACATATAATTGTTAATGTAAATATGATTCCAGGGATCGTGGGAGAGATTGATGAGGCCAATGATGTTTACTATATCTGGACGCATAAGAAATTTGACCTTGGTTACAATGGAAACCAAATTGTGGATGTTAACCTCACATCTGAAGCTCGCCTGAAACTGGAACTGGGAGCAAAGATCAAGTTCACTTATGAGGTCAACTGGAAAAAGTCTAATATTAAGTTTGAGGACAGATTTGACAAATATTTGGATCCAAACTTCTTCCAGCACCGGGTAAGGTTTTTTTAAAACTTTGTGCTTATCTTTAATGATTACTTTATTCAGAAATTTCTATTCCAACTTAATGCTAATCTAACCTAATACTAACCTAACCAATTCTAAACTGACCTGACCTAACCTAATACTAACCAATTCTAAACAAACCTAATACTAACCTCACCAATTCTAAAGTAGCTCTAACCTATTCTAACCTAATACTAACCTAACACTTACCAAACCTATTCTAACCCATTATGATCTAATCTTAAATGGCCTAACCTATTTTAACTAGTCTTACCTAATCTAATCTATTACTAACTTAACCTAAACTAACCTTACCTATTCTATTACTAACCCAACCTACAGTAATCTAATCTAACCCTACCTAAACTATTACTATCCCAACCTAATCTAATACTGTATAATCTAACCTAATTAAACTAACTTATTACTAACCCAACTTAATCTACTCTTCCCTAACCTAACCTAATTTGAAATAACAAGTGTTGTCTGCTTTTGTGTTTATGGTGCAGCATCAGTAAATAGGCCAGAATATGAAAAGATAATTTCAGCTAGCTCTTTGTTGCTTTTAAGCCTTAACAGACATTAACTGTGACCTGCAACAAGAATTCACTTACCATTTTATATTTACTATTCTTGCCAATATTGTGTAATTTCCTACAACATTATAATTAATAATCAATATCCTGTCACACTTAAGGCCAGAATATGTCCTTCCTCTACTGTATTTTACTCTTATGTAAATATTTCTGTTGCAACGTGTAATAATGGTCACTTAGGCTTTAGTCGCTAGTGTTCAAGGAAGGCCGGCCCTAGGGCCTCCTGGGCGTGAATTTGTTTAAAGTGTAGAAGCTGTTGCCAGCACAACAATTATACCCCAAGTTAATGAGTTGCATGAACCATTGGCTAGGAATAATCTGAGAAGACTGAACAATTCGCCAACTGCTTTGACAAACCATTACCCTGGAACACGATCTGCAAATCAGTTAACATCCGGGTCCCCAATTTCTGCTGGATAGACAGGCAAATCGCAATAAAGAAACTTGCCCATAGTTTCACCCTGCCCGGGAATCGAACCTGAGTCATCTACTTGCTTGCGAGTTGAACATGCTGACCACTACACCACAGTATAAGATAACACCACAGTGGTCACTTTTAGTATGATATTATATATATATATATATATATATATATATATATATATATATATATATATATATATATATATATATATATATATATATATATATATATATATATATATATATATATATATATATATATTACTGTATACTTAGTACAGTATATGATAATACCACAGTGGACACTTTAAGCGATATGTTATATATACAGTATATGATAACATCACAGTGGTCACTTTTAGCACTATACAGTATAATATATGAGGCGCCCCGCATCGTATGGGTTATTCGCGCCCAAATTTTGAAACCGAGAAAACTGCATTTAAAGTTTTTCCAACTTCAAACAAGCATAACTTTGTTGTTTTTTGGGATACAGCATTAATTTCTTATGCATTTTGAAGCTAAAGGACTGTACTTGCAGAAGGTGGGTCGCATGTCATGAAGTAATGTACTGGGTTGTTGCGATGTTGACTTGAAGCTACAAAACTCCCATTCGCTTATGACTTTTTTACTTTAATCGATATCAGAGTGTAGATCCCTCCCGCTGGAGGGGCTGTGACGTAGATAGCAGACGCTCACTGTCATTGGCCGAGACGGGGGAAGAGACTAGGCTGGCCCATAATTTCGTTTCTGCCACAAATATGATGTTCTATTCTATTTTCAAGGGGCATTTAACATTATTTTCAGTGTAGTAAGGAGATCTTATCAACTACCATCGTGAAGAGCTATGCCAAAAATAGTGCTTTCCAACAAAAAACGGGTTTTGCCCGGATGGTCTGAATGCACCTTACGATGTGGGACGCCTCATATAAAGTATATGATATCACCACAGTGGTCACTTTTAGCAATAGAGTAGTGTATTATATTATGACACAACACTGTTAGGGCAATAATATACTGTACTTTATCATGGAAGATCATTCACCAAAAGTTTTTTTCCATTTTCTTATACAGTATTTATTTGTTTAAATATTTTTTGTAATTTACCAATGTGATGGGGAAAGAGGAACATGTGGCTTGTTTTATTCCATTACAATTAGACAGTTGTTAATAAAGTTATCAAGTTGTTATAGAATATATTTGGTAAAGCTGAAAATAAAGATACCCTATACCTGTATTGAAACTGCTAGATGTGGTTTATGAAGGTTTATTGTTGTCATATTCATATTATTATTACATTATTTTAAACAAAACATAATTACTGTACTGCAACAATATGTTATTTGTATTATGCATTATTTATGTAGTACTGTATATTAATGACATTGCAATAAAGTGGTGAATTATTTATTATCAGAATATTTGAGTACATTACAGTACTGTACTTTGTTGTACAAGTGTCTCTGGCACAAAGTATTTTTATACTTCATGGATAAAGAATTTGTTCAGCTAATCAGTAAACAATGCACGTTACTGATGCCCTCCTATTGGTTTGCCAGAATGCCATAGTTGACGCTTGTTCTGCCTGAGTACAGGAGGTTTGAGGGCTGGGTAGAGAAGCACACAATAGTCTCCTCTGGTGTTGCCACATAATATAGAGATAAGTCTGTCTTTAGCCATTTTGAAACCCAGATCAACTTTTTATTGCATGGAAGTTGGATGCAGGAAGGTATTCTTCTCCGAAATACTCTCATATCAGCTGTGCTGGTTACTGTTTTGTGGTCTGCTGATTCCTTCTTAACTTTATGTTGTGGAGGCTATAGCTCTCCTTAAAATTCTTGAGCCAGTTTTGCTGCCCTGAAATTTGTGACTGGGTATAGCTGAACTGGTTGTAGATCTACAGTGTTGACTGTAGCCTGCATCCCATGCTTCATCATAAAAGTGGTTGTAGATCTACAGTCAAACATGAGCCACTTGTGGTTCACCTGACCACCTGTAGCCCTAAATCTTATAAGAGTGAACCTGGTAGTCTTGTTCTTCACTTCATGTTCACCTGTACCTGACTATCTCATACAAAGTGGCTTAAATTATCAGCAAGTGTAGGAAATGTTTTTAAAATGGTGATGAGAATAATGATGATATTCAGTGTTTATTTATGTGTACAGTATGGTACATTATTCTGTATAGTCTGTTTATCCCTACAGAATGGAACTAGTGATTATCTTCTTTAGTAAATTTTAACCTGATTTTTATTAACCAAGAAAGATACAAGGTGACTTAAGTGTTAGAAAAATAGCCTCACTTATACTGCTTGTGGAAGTTAATGTGAAGGGTAACTTTATGAGAGGCAGGGCAACTAATATATGTACTACTGTGTGTGTGTGTGTGTGTGTGTGTGTGTGTATATATATATATATATATATATATATATATATATATATATATATATATATATATATATATATATATATATATATATATATATATATATATATATATATTGTGCAAGAAAGACAAAGTCGTGTTGTGAAATTTGGTGAAAACATATGCCGAAGGGCTAAAACTTTTGGTGCACTCTGCCTTGTGGTCGGGGGCTCTCAGTGTTTCACGAGTTATATTTAATCTTCGTACAAAACCGCGACACTTTTTCTTTGATTGTACACACCTGGTTTACAGTGTTTCATGGAAATAATCTACATGTTTTATGTAAGTTTTCTTTGCTTGGTAATAGTGTGCAGTACAGTACTCTCCATCATACCCACATTATAGTTTGATGGTTAATCATAAATTATGGTTAGCAGGAGGACCCTTAAGAGAGGTGAAGTGTTAAAACGAGATGTGCCTCAGCAATGGTTCACTTGTTAATGGATAGAGTTGGTTATGTATTTCAGATCCATTGGTTTAGCATCTTCAATTCCTTCATGATGGTGATCTTCCTGGTGGGTTTGGTGTCCATGATATTAATGAGAACTTTGCGTAAGGACTACGCCCGTTATTCCAAGGATGAAGAGATGGATGATATGGTGAGTGTGATCAGTATCCCCTATGTGATATGGAAAATATAAACTGATTCAAAATAATTTTTTTCACATACAGCAGTTGTGTACTGTATTAGTGTTCATTAGCACTGTCAAAAGCAGTGGTGAATGAAATGATGTTTTGCTGATAAGTCTGAATTATTTTGTAGTTGCAGAGAAATGTCACTGATCAAATGTCATTTTGTATTATGTTTATGTAAAATTAAGCAGTTGTTGTAGTAGTGTATCCCTTCTCAGGAACGTGACCTGGGGGATGAGTATGGATGGAAACAAGTTCATGGGGATGTGTTCCGTCCCCCATCACACCCCATGCTCTTCTCTGCATTGGTCGGGTCTGGCTACCAGATGCTTACTGTCACCTTCCTTGTTATTCTTCTGGCAATTGTTGGAGAACTGTATACAGAGTAAGTGGATTAGTCGACCTCTGGCATCACTCCACATTTTTGGCACTTAATACAAAGAAAGTTAAGTTTTTGCATAATAGCGAGCTGTTTCAGAGATTTAACCTTAGGTTTGTTCCTGAAGAGTCTTATATTTTGCTTAAGGCTCCATAACTATTATTATATGCACAGTTTACATTACTCTTCCTTCATACTTCACAGGCGAGGTTCTATGGTGAGCATTGCGATTTTCATATATGCTGCCACTTCACCCGTCAATGGCTATTTTGGAGGTTCATTGTATGCTAGAATGGGAGGTAAGTGTTATATCTTATTTAAGATAACTAGTCTTACACTGTAATAGTTGAGAATGTTGTGATGGTAGTAACAAGATAACTTCAGTAATATCTCTGTTAGCTGTCATCTCTTCCCCCCAAAAAATCAGAAATGTGTCTTACACTGTAATACTGAAGACTTGTGATATCAGTACAGCATGCCCTCCAAATTTGCGGATTTTTAATTCGTGGACCTTGATTATTCACGGATGACACCTTGGATGTACTCAAGAATGTCTAAGGGTAATTTTAAAGTTCCTGCCATTTTCGTGGCCGGGACAGGGAGCCATACGTTCTAGAGACAGTAATTTCCTTTACCTGTATTGTATATAATAATAATAATACTAAATGGTTTATTAATAGAGTTGCAGCAGGTGGCTGAAAATATACAGACTTACATTTGATTTAGACATAATGATATAATATGCATTGAATATATTTACAGGGCTGTATAGTACATAAATCAGGAGTTGTTTATTATTTTAACAATAGATGGGATGGTGCTGTTCTTATATCTATCGGTGCGGTCACTTATGGGCTGAATTTTGTTGTAGTGGCGGACTGCGCGAGTTGGGTGGGGGGCTGCAGGTGGCAGGAGGTGGCGATGACGAGGGTGGTGCAGTAGTCCACTGCCAAACCTTTCCAGTGCTTGGTGGTGGAGGTCACTGAGGGATGGTATTTCCAGGGTGGAGAGAGCGTTGGTGTAGCCGGAGTATTCTGCGCCAAGCATGATTCTGCAGGCCCTTTTCTGTACCTTCTCTGGCTGACGTTGTTGGGTGGAGTTGAGAGACGACAACCAGGCTGGTGACGCATACATTAGTTTGGGGAGAATAAAGGCATTGTAGATGGTCCTCAGCTCTGGCGTGGGTGTCCCAAGTGACCTAAGTCGTCGTAGCATGTAGAGACGGTACGAGGCTGCCTTGACTGTGTTATTTACATGGGCCTTCCAGTCAAGTTTGTTGTCTATATTTACACCCAGGAGTTTGGCAGACTGCACCAGCTGGAGAGGATGGGCACCCACTGTGACTGCTGGGGTTTGCACTGGAGTGGTGGCGGTATTGATGTGCATGACTACGGTTTTGGTGTGGTTGATGGCGACCTTGTTTTCCGTAGTCCATGCCTGTAGGTGCCTTGTAGCGATGAGTAGTATGGTGCAGTGTTGTCCACTGAAACCCCCACAGTGCAGTCATCCACGTACTTCCACTTGTGAGGAGTGTCCGATGAGCGTTGTTGATCAGGATGAGGAAGCACAGTGGTCCCAGTGGCGTAGCTAGAGTGTGTGCCGCCCGGGGCGGCCCTTGAGTTTGCCGCCCCCCCCGTGACCCTACAAAAAATACATATTGCACAGTGACTCACTCTTTTATATATATATATATATATATATATATATATATATATATATATATATATATATATATATATATATATATATATATATATATATATATATATATATATATATATATATATATATATATATATTAAATAGTTTGCCTTACTGTTGTCAGACAAAAGCCACCCCGATCAAAGTAGGGGGCTTTTGTCTGGGTGGCTTTCGTCTGGGGGGCTTTTGTCTGGGTGGCTTTTGTCGGGGGGGCTTTTGTCTGTACCCCAGTGAGGATAGTGTCTTAGTATAAAATCGCAATGCTGTGAAACAAAATCTTAATGTTTAATCTCAGTACCGCAGCAAAAGTCACATCAATATTTTTTAACCAATTCTTTAATATTTCTTACCTTATAGTATTATGTCTTCCAACGAAGTAAATAACTGGATCGAAAACACAAGAGAACTTAAAAGTCGTCTAGCCTCCCCTCGTCTTGTCATGATGGAGACTTGTGGAGAACTGAAGTGAATTGCTTGTAACTGGTGGATTGGTCGGCTGTACATGAACTGATATGACCCGAGACTGCATGGTTTTGCAGCTACTGGAGACGTTAATTCTTCCCTTTGTATCGGCGGCAAGTTAATCCTCGTCGTGTCTGACCTAACACCTGACCCACACCACATGAGCTCACTGGCGTACTTGTTTGAAGTTGTTTCCTTAATCCTCAACAGGTTACAGGTTGTGTGTGTGGCGGGGGGGGGGGCGCATAGCAAGGGTGTACGTAGCTCATGACGTGGCCGTGATGATGTGGGTCAGGTGTTAGGTCAGACACGACAAGGATTAACTTGCCGCCGATACAAAGGGAAGAATTAACGTCTCCAGTAGCTGCAGATATGGGTGATGAGCAGACCCAAAAGTGCCGCCCGGGGCGGACCGCCCCCCCCTAGCTACGCTAGTGAGTGGTCCCATCTTGGTCCCCTAGGGAACACCGCAGGTGAGGTGTTGGAATGTGGAGACCAAGCCCTGATACCTCACTGCCTGGCGACATCCACTCAAGGAATCGGTGAGCCATGAGACCAGGTTGGTGGGCAGCCCTAGTGCAATAGCCTTGTTGATAACAGTGCAGTGATCAACAAGGTCAAAGGCCTTCCTGAAGTCCACAAGGGCAATGGCCAGTGATGTCTTACGATTCTGCAAATTTTTGTGCAGAAAATCCAGAAAGCTCACCAAGCAGTGTGATGTAGAGGAGGTCCTCATATTGCCAAATTGCTGTGGGTTAATTGACTGATAGATACTGGCAAATGCCCACTCAAAAACAAAGTCCTCACAAAGTAGACTGGGTATGGGGGTAATGGCAACTGGCCTGAGGTCGTTAGGGGACTGTGGGGTGGTGACCTTGGGGATGGGGGTGACAAATGCGGTTTTCCATTCATTAGGGCATTTGCTTTGTCTGAGGGATGCATTAATAATAGAACAGAGGGGGCTGGCAAGTTCGACTGCAAACTCCTTGTTTATTTTGATTGGGAGGTCAATTGGGGTCGTGGAGCGTTTGGATTTAAATTTCAGGAGTTTGTTGGCGATTTCATATGGTTGAACACTGGGAGGGAGGGAGGGGGAAGGTAAGTAAGCCGGGAGGAGAGAGAGGTCAAGACTGGGTAAGGTATGACATATGGTCGCAAAATGTTTATTAATTATCTCAGCTGCCTCCTCACTAGGTAAATGTGAGATGAAAGGAAGTGTGGGAGACTGACGGTTGAGACCACAGAGATCTTTTACCTTGGCGTACCACTGACCAATGCCGTGTGTGTGTGTGCAGACACACACCGTATGGTCAAGACTTATCCAGGCGCTGCTACCGCTATGCAGCTGCCCCCCTTGGCCAATGTCGGCCCAGTCCCTCTCCCTGACCCATCCTCACCACCGGGATATCTACATAATCAAAAGTGACAATTTCGTTTCGGAAAGAATTGGGATCAGTGTTGAACAGTGTTTAAGCCAGTGAATTCAGCACTAGACAGTACCAGTAAAAGCCACGACCCACCAGTGAGATAAGCACCCCTGGGAACTAACTACCATCTTCTGACAAGGAGGTGCTAATCCGTTCACCCTGGGAACAACAGGGCCGGCCAGCTATGCACCTGACTACGGGATAACACAACAGCACCGAGCAGTGAGGTACTATGACACCACCCCACACCACACGGTGTCCCCATGACTACATGAGGTCCTTCATATCAACACCCGAGGATGAGTTACTACACCACGTGAATACCACACCACCCGATGTCCCCATGACCACATGAGGTCCTTCATATCAACACCCATAGGACGAGTTACACACACACACACACACACACACACACACACAAAACACATACTAATAAATAATAATGGGAAAATCCTCTCACAAATAATCAGAAACAAATATATTTAAAATGTTGAGTCTACCCTCAAGTCCACTCCATTCTTTGTTATTAATAAAGCACAGCGTGGACTTGAAGGTAGATTCAACATGTTTAATACATTTGTTTCTGATTATTTGTGAGAGGATTTTCCCATTATTATTTATTGGTATGTGTTTTGTGTGTGTGTCTGCACACACGCACACACAAATATACAATACAGGTAAAAGAAATAATTGTCCTAAGGGCAAATACATAAAGGGAATATACATTTATTTGTGCACAAGTAAAAATGTAACAAAAACAACAATCCCCCCTCCCCCTCAGCATGCTGTGTTGTTTGTAACAGCCAGTCAATAAAATTGTCATTCTTTAGCTTGACTTGTCTTGCTTTCTTTATTATGAAAATATTGGCATGCAGTTTGAGGTACAAAATTTTTTCACAATTCCAGGGAAAGTTTGGATTCGACAGATGATGTTGTCAGCTTTACTCTTGCCAACTCTTGTGTGTGGCACAGCATTCTTCATTAACTTCATAGCAATCTATTACCATGCCTCCAGAGCTATTGCCTTCACCATCATGGTAAGGTCAATTACATCTTTATTTTTTTGTTCAAGTTTGTTTCTGAAGTTTTCAGCTGTGTTATAGTGTATTACTATATCTGTAGTGACAGCTAGTTGTATTACCCCATCATTGTTTCTGTTCACTAACTAGAGATAGCTAACAAGTACACACATCTCAACTGTTGTATCATAAAGACTAATATTGTGAAAGTTAAGTCAACCCGCTGTTAGCCAACTGTAACTGTTTAATGAAAATATTGGCATGTAGTACAAGTACAGTACAAGAATTAACACTAGCTCCCTTGCTCTATGTAGTGTAGTAAGGTAAAGCTAAGTCAACTTTGATAGATTCAGTTGTTTGTCAATTTTTAAACTTAGTAATTAATCACAGTCGGCAATGTCTTCTCTGAACATTGAAGTAATGGAATTTGTTCATGTGCAGCTCGCTGTGATCTGTATCTGTACGTTTGTGATCCTGCCCCTGACACTGGTAGGCACAGTGTTGGGGCGAAACTTGGCAGGACAACCCAACTACCCGTGTCGTATCAACGCTGTGCCACGACCCATTCCTGAGAAGAAGTGGTTCATGGAGCCTCTTGTCATCATACCTCTGGGTGGTATTCTTCCTTTTGGCTCAATCTTCATTGAGATGTAAGTGAAGTGTGTCCTTTGTTGACATGCCTTGTGTGCCTGTATTATATCTAACTTTGTTATTGTGATAGTTGACCAATATTTTGTAGATACTTCTTCAATAATATCTAACTACAGTATATTATTATTCATCTTCATTGCCTTTGTCTAAGGTAGTGGGCACAATTTTGTTTCAATTGATCAGACTTATTAGTGGAGAAACATTGAGTGAGCTTGCAGAGTCGCAGAGACTATAACGCCTCATAGCTTGGTCCAGTAGCCTGGTGGTTGCAGTTTAACCTGCCTACAATTAATCACTATTAAGCATTATTATATCAGTAAACACTAATAATAACAGTAAATCCAGTGAAGTATGACAGGGAGGGAGGAGAGTTAAGTGCAGGTGACACTCAACTAGCAGGCACTTGACTCACTCCCCTTACCCACACTCGTTGCCAGGCATACGATTTAAATGCGTATGTGAGAAATACATATGTTTTAGTCTAATTTGAAAACGGTGATGGGCACAGTGATAAACAAATTATATAAGCTATGCATTTAGCTATGATAACATACAGTAATAAGAAAAATTGTATCATTACTAAAGTGAATGAAATATTCCCACAAACAACAATTGACAACTGTTTATGTTTCCCACCTCCTCAGGCTCTATTTTGGGAATGCTTCTTAGCCCAAAACCCCCAAATTTTTTGCCTGAATCTTCCAAAATCCGGATTTACCGGGTCCGGATCTTCGAGGGTTCACTATATAATATACAACTATAAAAAAGAAAAGAAAAATCAAGAGCATGTGTGCAAATAGTATTCTCTGGGAGAGGTGAACTTATGTATGGATGTGTCATGCTGTCTCCCCGATGTGATATCAGGGCATGCACGATGTAGCAGCCAGGCATCTCTCAAATCAGCTGGCTAGCTGAACTCGTCCCAGAGAGTTCTATCTCACAATTTTTAATTATTGATGTAATAGTGCAATTACTAACCTTGTTACACACTTAAAGACCTTAGTTGTCGAAACGCAGTAATAACATTTAAACAACAAACCGTCCACTCTTGGAATCACCCATAGGCTGTGTTGTTGTGATGCGGACTGGTGGATCATGTGATTCACGTAGCATCGCTCCACAGTAATAACAAATGACCCAAAAATATTTATTTTATTTTATATATCTATTTATTAATTTTATTTTTTTAATTTTGAAGAAAAAAAATTCTAAGATTCTTGTCATTGCTCAGGAGTCCAGTACTCGGGGTCTTTACTGTATTTAGATTTTTAATAAAAAGGAAATTATTAAAAAATATCAGTGGAGATGAAAGCATTAGTAAATATTTTGTTCAGAGAATCTTCATCATGTGTCAAATATTAATGAAAATTGGCTTAAGATAATTCCTCATCTACAGGTATTTCATCTTCACATCCTTTTGGGCATACAAGATCTATTACGTGTATGGCTTCATGTTGCTGGTGTTCCTGATACTGTTGGTTGTGGTGATGTGTGTCACCATCGTGTGTGCTTATTTCTTGCTCAACGCTGAGGACTACAGATGGCAGTGGACCAGTTTCTTAGCTGCAGCATCCACCTCTGGCTATGTCTATGTTTATGCCACCTATTACTTCTTCTTCAAAACCAAGTAAGATCAAAGGCCAATGATGTTTTGTGATTGATCAAAGTATAGAGGTGCAATTTTAGTTAAGAGACTATGAAGAATTGTAAAGCATATGAAGTATAAAGTTTACAGTTTAAGAATAGCTAGGAATAAACCAGAGGGGGAGATATTTAAGCAGGTTCTCTAAACTGTGTAAAATAAGAAAGCAGTAGAGTGAAGGGGTTCAAAGGAAATTATTAGATGTCACATAAAGGAATGTAGCACAAAAGCTGTAAATGGTGTATTTAAGAGTTTGTTTGGAGGTGAAGAGAGGTAGTGTTTCAACCTAAGTAGCAACTTATCCTTTTATAATTCATGATTTTAAAGTTGAACACTTAGAAAATAATCTGTGTGGTGGGAAACACAGGATATTCACTTTTTTTTAAATTTGCATGATGGGAGCCAGGACACCATACCATCAGGTAATTACAGCGAACCCGTGCTTGTGTGGAAATTGTCTGTAAATTACTGATGGTGATAAGGTGTCTGGTGGTGTGTTGAGTGAGGTTTACTTATGTTACTATCTAGCTCATCTCTTTTAAATGTATATTGTACAGTATTCATTAATCTTTTTTTCTGCCACAGAATACTACACTTCCTTCCTCACTCTTGCTTCCTTGTCTCTCACTACTGTACTAGTATTTATCCCACAACTCTACCAAACCTTTATCATAATACAAGTAAAGTTATACACTAACCTCTATCACAATACATGTAAAACAGGTTATACATAACTGTGGGTGACTTAGCAATGGTGTAAGGGTAATTGTATCCCTAGATATTTGTGTTTATTTTCCCATGTGGAGTGAAAGTTAATTAGGCACAGTATTTGAGTTTGTAATGTTGTATCTCCTCTCAGCATTAGGTTAGCCTAAGATAACACAGGTTAGGCTAGTTAGGTTAGGTTAGTCAGGTAAGGTAAGTTAGGTTAGGGACTTACGTTAGGGAAAGAAAGGTAAGATACATCCCCTCCATTATCCTAAACTTTATGTAGACAGAATCCAATGTTATCATCCCTTTCATGAATAAATACTTACAGATTTCTTTTAAGTCCACTTTCTGCTGCAACATTTGATCCACCATATCCTTCACACATAGAGTAGCATCTCTTATATTTTATATTGTTAATGAACTAGTGTAATTACTAACCTGGCTATGTGCTTAAAGATTTTTGTTGTCGAATTGCAGTAATAACTTTATGTCGGTACCTTCACAACATACTCCATTATCTTAATCCTCCTGTTGTATCTTATGTCATTGTTTTGTTGCAGGATGTATGGGTTTTTCCAGACTACCTTCTACTTTGGTTATATGGCTCTCTTCAGTGCTACTTTGGGCATCATGTGTGGCACTATCGGTTATGTTGGCACCAGCAAGTTTGTCCGTAAGATTTACTCAACCGTCAAGATTGATTAAAGTCTTGTAATATATAATTACTGTACTATTGCTTAAGGACAGATCATACTAAGTTGAAAAGTACCGGTACCCAAGTTTCCCTCTAGCTTAGAAGAGAAATCTGTTTCTCCAGAAAATGAAAAATTCTCCAAAGGAATAATGATGACTTAAGTGTCACTTACTGTACGGGATAACTACTCTATGAAAGTTCATCCTGAGGGTCATTATATCAGCACAAAATGTTGAGAGTGAACAGCTACATTAAACTTTTGCCAACCTTTATCATTAAGAGAGAGAGAGAGAGAGAGAGAGACACTGTTAATGATCTCCTGCAGTTATTACATGAAACTGTGTTCTTGTGTTTAATAAACTTTTCTTCCTGTATACGAAGTTCCTGCTTATCTTATAATTGTTTTTCAGTTGCTCTTTTTGCGTAAACTATATGGATTTGAAAACTAAATCATATCCTGCCAATACAAAGATGATTAATCTTCACATCCAAGCATGTCAAGCAGCAATTTATATGGATTTTATTGACTGGAGTAAAGCTTGAGAATTAGTAATGGTGTGGGTTGATTGTGATTTACTAATGCACTATTGAAGTGAAGACTGAGAATTAGCAATTATGTGGATTCATGATATATACTCTTAGTTCTTAATTGTGAATTTACTGGCTGAAACCAATAAAGAAAGCTTTTAAGTTGATAGAGAGAAAAAGAAAACTATAATAATCAATAGTTTGGTTATCCTCCAGTGAAGTATTATGATGTATGAGCACCAAAACATTCTTGCTTATGTGTTCAATTTTCTCCTGTTATATTAGCATTGTTTTAATTTATTGATTAATCTCAGAAACTGTAATGTCTACTGAGACCTTGATTTTGTTCCCCTGATACTGCCAGTTTTAATGGGAAAATCTTCTCCTCCTCCTCTTCCTCCGTTTGATAAAACTGATATATAACATTGATTAATAACAACTAAAGTTCTTCACAGTGTCATGATATGTTTATATTAAACATATAATGATAATAATAATAGTAATAAATAAGTACCATTATATAACTTCAAGAAAAGCTAATATCTTGGTGAATTCCTTATATTAAAGAATCTCATTGCCTGAGGTTACCTAATTGTAAGAGAGCTTGTAGAGTAAAAGCTTACTATACTGTACTGTACTGTATATTTACAAAGATCTACCTACTTCAATACAGTTTGTTTTTAGGTAATGTTTGCAACCTCACTGACACAACCTTGTATTCTGGGTAGGCTGCTACTATAGCCCCTGCCATATTTACTGCTGCTGCTCTTTTTTTTTTTTTTTATATATATATAGAGAGAGAGAGAGAGAGAATATTCTTTTTTTGTGCACAGAATGTAATTGTGGTGGGAAAGTTAGTGAAAAGTGAGTTTGACCTCACAGAAATCATACATAATCTCCATAAGAATATTTGTGGTGCTGTTTGGTAAAACTTGTTATGAATGTGTAACACTTAACCATTAACAAAGGTGGAGACAACAAGAAACTAATCCAACCTAGATATTTATGGATGATTGGTTGATGTTACTGTTAATACAGCAGTGTAATAAGAGCTCTTACCAGCACAGCTACAACTATTGCCTAGTTTTCACCCCTCAGTGTGCTTTAAATTTGAATATAAAAAAATCTTGAACAAAAATAGAGGAAAAAATAATTTTGATGAATTTTTGTTCCTAAAAACAAATGTTTTAGTTCAATACAGTATGTTATATTTAATTGTGGTTATATTATATCAATATGATTAAGATTGATTTACATAATGTTTGATGGTGTACACTAAGTTAAGTGTTTTTTCATGTAAAACACAAATACAGTGTACAATAGTTATAGTTAACAGGTTATACTGTATTTAGTAACATAGTACATTTATTAACACAGACAAAAACTGCAGCTTAATTTCAGAGGTAATTATATAATCTTATAATAATATAACTAATAATATATTATAAATACTAATAATATATGATAAAAACTTGCTGGCATAAGAGTGTATTTTATGTCTTTAGTAGTGACAAGCTAGAACTATTTAAACTACACACTCTGAAGTGGAACTCATTTACAGATACAGTGATTTTATTTAGATAAAGAATAATTGCTTCTTGAGGTACCTGTGTACAGTATAATGTAACTCCATATTAAACAGGAAGCTCGTATGGATGAGGTAATGTTAGTCAAGATGAAAGATCTTTACAGTAGAACTTTTTGTGATGTACGGTAGGTAGAGAGCTTGATGCTGTAATAAGTACTTACTTTTGTACTAATGACATGCAGTATTAATTAATGTTACTTTACACTTGTCTGATATTTTGTAAAAGTATAAAGTTAATAATAGAAAAATATCATCAGCATTATTCCAAGTCCCTTTCATTATATGACTGCTGAATTATTACATAACTTTATTTTTAATCTATTTTAACACATCCAATACAGTTTATATATATATATATATATATATATATATATGTATATGTGTGTATATATATATATATATATATATATATATATATATATATATATATATATATATATATATATATATATATATATATATATATATATATATATATATATATATATATATATATATATATATATATATATATATATATATATATATATATATATATATATATAGTATTATTTTTCACTGCAGTCAGAGTTATAAAACCAGAAGCCTCAAAAGTAACCTATTTTTCCACATAACCCCCTGAGACAGAACATTTCTCCCAGTAATGAACCAGGTAGGTCATGGGTGCTTGTACTTCAGAAGATTTGTTCCCGATTTAAACACTTCAGGACAAGGGAAGTTTTAACCTTATCAAAACTGGAGTCTGTGCCAACTGTCGGGCTCCTTCAGTTTCTCAAGCAGAAGAAAATCACATAAATGATGTGCACAAAGTCATCAGGTAAAACTTGTAGGTCATCTGTTGCAATGTTTTAAAGTTCTGCACTCCGTTACATAGCCCAACATAACATTTCAGACTACAGAATTTGGACTGGGGGGTTCTCACCCATGCGACAGGTTGGATGTGGCTCCTATCAGCTCCCATCTTTTGGGGATTGGAGGATCTTGTAGGGTAGGTAGTGATTCCAGGCTGATGATAAGGTGAAGACTTTTGTCCTGAAATTGTTCAATAAGCATTGAGGCAGTAGTGAGATCACGGGTGTGTTTTACACGCCACGCATGGAGGTAATTGGTAGAAGTGGCTAATTTTGTTAATTATGTTGTGTAAATTTTACTCCCAGAAACATATATCTGGGAATGGCTTGAACCACCCTCACATATCCAGTACAGTACATATATTGTACAGGTATGTGTACACACCTTTTGAAACTAATTACTGATTGGCAGGGGTTTAATTGTAGCTGTCCTTTCATATGGAGTGATGTAGGGTGTTTCCGCATGATCCTCCCAATAACTTAAGGTGTACATACCATGTACAATTTGGTGGGGAGTGTATGCAGGGGCTATTGTAATTTAGCTTTGAAGTTCTGTGGTATTATTAACATTGAAAAAAAAATCAAGCATTGCAAACTTTATCACTGTCTGTATCCAGTTTTATAGATGCCCATGTGGTTCATTTCTTGCTCTATACGTACTTACATTTACCTGTTTTATACATTTTATTCCTGCATTTGCTTGAGGAATTTTAAGAATTTGATGTGACATCGTGGACCTTATTGAAAAAAATATATACGTAAAAAAATTTTAAATTTTTTATTGAGCTCTTTGCAGCATTTAGAATGAGAACAGTAAAGAATTATTAAGGGAACAGTAAATGCGGTTATAATGCAAGGAGGGTTCAGCATTTTTCATACTAATCAGTGTGTGAAGACAGTAATAAAGACAAGGAGTTCATCTTGTGCTGAAATTTTGTTTTCTGAATCTAAAACTGAACTTACCAGACAGGATAAAAATGGTTGATCACTGTCAAGTTGATAAGCGAGTTAGTGACCTGCGAGTTTAATGAAATGATTATGATTACAACATTGAAGTGTAATTCGTGTGTGTGTGTGTGTGTGTTTGCTATAAATTTAGCAGCTGGACACTGGTTGTGGACTGTCCTGCCACACAACTGATGTTGTGTACAATATGTGTATTTTTTTTTTTTTTTTTTTAGATATTTCCTGTGATCTTAAATATTATGGGTGAAAGGAATTGCTTAACTTTTCCCATTTATATATTGTGATCATAATTATAGGTGAAAGGAGCTTTGTAATAATTCTTTTATATAGTTCTTGTTAAGAATTGACCATTTCACATTTTTCCAGGTGAAAGTTTGTGCAAATAGGAATGAATACACGGAGGCATTATCAAGGGACTGACCATTAGTGTTTCTCTAAATGTGACGGTATTTTGGTTAGTTTTGTTAAGTTTGTAAGTACAGTACTGTAACACATTATACTGTAGCTGGAGTGTGTTGTGGATGTGACCCACTCTTTAAACATAATTATAAATTATTTATTATCAGTTTTAATATTTGTCAGCACAAATACTTGCTGCATTCCTCTGACCAAAATATTATTTTATCCAGACTTGTAAATAAAAAGAACTGTTATTTAGGATGCTTATGCTGAGAGGTAAATTATAGAGTCTTGATAGTTTCAAGTTGGTGTGAGGACGGTTATGAATTTGCTTTATGTAAGCATATGTACAGTAATGTCAGTATGAGAGAACTCTTTGTTTCATTATAAATTTGCTTCCTTACACTCATGGTAAGAGTTTTACTTACACCAACTTGAAAGTTCAACTTTCAAAGTCCAGGTTGATAGTTTAGTCCAATGTGGTGCTGTGTTTCAGCCATTAACAAGCATCTCGGTGTCAAACTTTTACTTGACCAAGAGCCAAATGCTGAAATGCTGTAGGCTTAATAACAGAAGAAAGCTTCAGTACTTGAGTGTGACAATATGTATAAAGTATCTTAATTTTCCATATTTTTTATGAAAGAATCCTATATTTTTCACAAATTGACTAAATTTCAATTTCATTTTATGTTATAGTATTGTAAAAAAAAAATTGTATCATGTCATATTTCCATTGAATATTTTTATGCATAATGTTGGGCTGTCAGAGTTAACCAAAGTATCATTTTTAATAAGTCCTTAAGAGTACCAAGCCAAACCATATTATTTGGTGTGGAAGTTAGTTAAGCCCTGATTCATAGTACTCCACCCGTTGTTCTGAATAAATCATTCCAATACTGTACTATGTTATTTAATATTCCTGTTTGTGTTGTACCGTCATAGGAGATGAATTAGTTGCTTGCTTAATAGCCATGGATATGTTAATGTTTGTTGTGGCTTTTGATAATTTAAATGCATTTAAACAGTGGTCATCTTTGCTATACAGAGAACAGATTTTCCTCGTTCAGTAAATACCGGTACATCAGATTTGATTGTATGGCTGACATTTTTTCCTTGCATTATCTTAACTTACTTTTTGTTATTCTTTCATGATGGATAATTATTATTCGTAAGAAACCGTGCTCAAGTATTACAGCTTCCACATTTGTGAAAATATCTTCTCCTACTTAGACTAATCATTTTATACTCTCTTCCTGTCTGTATACAGTCAGTATCCTCTTAACTCCCAAGCTTCAGTTCACATGGTGTGATATGTCCTTGTAATATGTCATATGATATATTGTAGTTTTGCAGTACTGTTTGAATTGCAAAGTGTTCATGTAATTCTTAAGCAGACACCATGAGACCAAGATTATATAATATCCTCCCATTCTTTGTTCAAACTATCAACTTACAAGTGGTGCTAGGTGATTTGTGTTATTGCTGGTGGTTGATTAAGTATTTGTAGCTTAAAATAAGGATAGTGCTAGCTGTCACTTGCATTTTCCTCTATTTTATTGATTGTTGAGGAAAATGTGCTTCCCACTACCCAGATTGTAGCATATCTTACAACTCTTTCCTCAAAATATCGATTTACAAGTGGCAGTAGAGATTTTAGTTATTGTTGGTTGATTATAAGTAAATATAGCTTAAAATAAGAAGAATATTGCTACTGTAGCTGTCACTAGCATTTCCTTTATTTTATTGACATTGTTAGGAAAATTACAAGATATTTCATGGGTAAACCGTAGAAATTTCACAACCGGTACTAACTCGAGTCTCGACCGGTTGTAAACTTGGGTACAGTATCACCAACCCCTGGAACAAGAGGCTAGCGCTGTATCTGTGCTGGAACTTCGCGCTCCAATAATTTTATGGTGAGAATGGTAATTATTTGTGACTTCACAACTGCTGATTTTTCATAGAAAATGGATTTTAAAATGCTGCAATTTCACTGTTTTATAGTGGACACTGCCGTAGTTATGGAAAATGTGTTAAAAAGGTGGTTATTTTTAAATTAAACCTAACCTAACTTTAGTTGATAAGAAAAATAAGTGGCATAAGCATTGTTAGAAGACCTTGCCAACCTAACTAAAGAAACCTACCTAACCTCATCTAACTTCATAACCTTGAGGCAATAAACAAAAAATATAATATCAGAACTGATGAAAATATATTAAGAATATAAACGTCAAAACAAATAACTCGTCGGCTGTGAAGTCCTACACTGGTGACAATTACTAAATAAATAATATTACAAGGATACATTATTCCTGAAGGGCGGAAGAACAGAAATGCAAGTGAAAGGCGAGAGTTCATTTTTAAATTAAGATTTGAGATTATATTTATTTGAAAATTAATAAAATTTAGGTTTTGTAATCAAGAAATTTAAAGATATTGTCCGACCGCCTGGTGACTATGGCAACAGTCGAGTTGAGTGAACTATACTGTAGGTACTATCGTTAATTTGAAGTGATTGGGATTTATGTTTATATTTCTATAAAATATAATCATTATTCAAGAGCAATTTTAAAACGAAAATAAGAATTGCATCAGAAAAACGTTTAATAATAACATGCAAAAATAAGTGTTTAATCGTCGTGAAATTGTTTAACTTGTTTAGGGAGTTTCTGTATTTGAGAATAAAGAGTCGGTCCCAAGGAATATATATAGGAGGAAGGAAGGCATCTCCCATACTGTCTATTGCGGCCTCCGATTGATTTGCCATCTAGTGGCCAGAAGAACGATTTCTTTATCTTTTAAGGGTATACTATAATATAAAGTAAATACTTAAAAAAACGTGATATATATATATATATATATATATATATATATATATATATATATATATATATATATATATATATATATATATATGCAAGTAAATCACTGTAGGGTGCAAGTGATCTAGGTATATGCTGATACTCACCCTGAAGATGTGAATTACAAAGCGCTTGAGAACTTCGTGTTTTCTTCTTTCCTTGTGGTTATCAGCATATATATATATATATATATATATATATATATATATATATATATATATATATATATATATATATATATATATATATACACACACGAGTCAAATTTATCCTTTATATTAATTTCTTGTACATTAATTATTATTGTACACAAGAGCATAGTTCTTGGGAGATGCCAACTCTATGATCAAGTTGGAGTGTGGGGTTTCGAGATGTTTGTTCACACTCAGGATGGGATAGAGAAAGGAAACTCACAATGTGCTCTCTGTATACATGTTGTATTGGATGTTCAATGCAGCTTGGTGCTGGGAAGTGGCAGCATGGTTACAAGCGTGATGTAGAGAGAGCTGGTTGGTGAGGATGCTCAGAGGAGGACAGCTTGTGGGTCGCCATACTTGCCGGCGGGAGCGAGGGCCGCCAGGCAGGAGCGGAGGAGGTGGTGTTGCTTGAAGAGTAGCTGTAGGTAGAAAGAGAGGTAGGTCACCATGAGGTCAGGTCTCATATAGCGGAGGTAGGCGTGGCTTAATAATTGATCTCCGTCGTGTAAGGTGGCGCTGGTTGACCTAGACCACGAGGCATACACTGAGGAATTCGCGGGGTCGGCTACTCAGCGACAAACAGCGTTTGTAGGGGAGGAATCGACCCGCAATTCCCAGTGTATGCCAGATGAAAGTATGGGTAAATATGTAGTATACAGCTAGCACCTAAATTACCTTATTGATTTTGCTATTTTTTGCCAAATTTTTTTAATGATATTGATAAAGAGAAGAGTGTGGCTTTTTAACCAAATCTTATTTTACCTAACGAAAACTAATCTCGATTTACCTAACCCAGTTTTATTTCCCATTTCCAAATATATTAAGAAAATAAAATTGTCAGAAACGAAGGGGAAAATGTTACTGCGAATTAATTGTGTTCAAAGTATGTGCTGGGTTTGTCTACTTTTTCACAGGTTAGGTAAGTTTAGGTAAGTTTAGGTAAGGTTAGGTTCTGGTAGGTTCTGTGCATTGTCATGATATTTTCTTTACTAAATGTCATCCAAACACCTCCTGAAAACTTGGTGCAAATCCCGTTGTTTTTATTTGTCCCGCATATAACACACCGGTGACTCACTTTCCTTCTCGCCATATTTGTGTCACTCTCATGTCAGTCACCAATCACCACGGCCAGGTCAAAATAAACAGCCGACACAACTTTTCCGGCCATTTAATCAGTTTTATCTAGTGGCCAGGCGCCTACAGGGACTACAAGTGCCTTAAGTCGCCCTTCCTTCCATATACTTTCCTTAATCAGTCCTGGTGCCGGTACTGAAGTGACTAGTCTAGACAGGACTATTGGTAGTAACTGTTTGACATCATGACATCTGTTAATCCCCAACATTGTCTTTCTGTTGCCTTGAAGCTAGTTAAGGAAGCTGGCGAGGTTAGTGTGATAACTTAACTCATGGTTAGTGTACGTACCTAGTATATGTGTATTAAGAGTTAAAGCTACATAACAAAACTATGGCAATCAGCACTTACATGGTTTCACAAAATTATTACATAACCTTATTAACTTGTATTATTGGAAAATTTATTGTACTTCACACAACTCTGTTAGAATGTCAAAATTATGTTTTATGTTTTTCTAGTGTATTTTTGTGTGTTTTGGTTGATTTTGACTTGATTTCCGTCGCAGATTACCTGTTGGGAACCGGGGTGGGACTCTTCTGACAAAAATCATGGCCAAGTGAATAAAAAATACAGTAAAAAAACACTAGAAAACATATAAACCAAACCCTTTTTTGGATGACCTAACCCTACCTAACCTGACCTAACCTAACCCTCGCGGTGTTTTTATATAACCAGACTTTCACCATATGAGGGAATCACTGTTATTTCTTAACTTATTCCGAATTAGGGTCTTTACTGAGGTCGGGAGAACACCATGAGATCTAAAAATGCTATTGCATGTTCGTTTTTTTTTTTTTTAATGCAATCAACTCCATATAATTGAAGTGACACCCATCGCAGACTTCCATTGTCGGAAACGAATTTGAATTTCGAAGCATGAGAGACCCAAAATTACAATCTAGTCTGATTGGGCAAAAAAATACCGACAATTCTAAAAACAGAAGACACAATTGATTTTAATTGGGTGCAAAAAAAAAGAACGCTATTGATTGGCCGCGTGATGTGTACAGGAACGCATGAGGATTTGTGAAGGGAACACGCCGAGTGGGAGGTCAGGTAGGCGATAATGGCTGAAGATTAATGGAATTAAAAAAAGAAAGGTTTGGCATGCGATATATACGTTATTATATGTTTCCGACGGTAATGTATTAAAAGAAAATTATCTTAAAAATGGCCGTCTTTTTCGAATGTGATAAAAGATTTGGTGTAGGAATGTTGTGTGAACTACTATAAAAATACCGTATTATTATTACAGTAGTAAGTATATATGTTATACACTTAATTGAAGTATGACAGATTAATACAGGGCAGGATGCAAATGCATTACAGGAGGATCTAAATAAACTGCAGGGGTGGTCTGAAAAATGGCAAATGAAATTCAACACCAGCAAGTGCAGCATACTTAATATTGGAAGAACAAATACTGACAATGTATACAGCCTTAACAACATCAACCTAGAGAAGTCGACTTGTGAAAGAGACCTAGGGGTACTTGTAAGCCCGGACCTACGGCCTAGAAAACAGTGCGTTAATGTTCGAAATAAGGCAAACAGAGTATGGGGTTTTATATCTAGAAGTGTAAGTAATAAGAGTGCAGAGGTCTTATTGCAACTATATCTTGTGCTAGTCAGGCCGCACCTCGATTATGCGGTTCAGTTCTGGTGCCCTTATTATAGAATGGATATCAATTCACTAGAGTCGGTGCAGCGAAGAATGACGAAAATGATTCCGGGACTTTGAAACCTTCCATATCAGGATAGGTTAAAGAAACTTAACTTGCATTCCCTAGAAAGACGAAGAGTGCGGGGAGATATGATAGAATTATTTAAGTGGGTGAAAGGAATCAATAAAGGGGATATAGAAGTTCTTATAATATCCGAGCAGGATAGGACTCGGAGCAACGGATTTAAGTTGGATAAGTTTAGGAGGGAGATAGGAAGAAACTGGTTCACAAATAGGGTGGTGGACGAGTGGAACAAGCTTAGCAACTTTGTAGTAAGTGCTGGAACTCTGGAAAGTTTTAAAAGGAGGCTAGATAGATTCATGGATGATAGAGAGTGGTAGTAACTCTCGACAGGAGCTGCCATGCACAGGCCAACCGGCCTATTGCACACTCCTTATTTTCTTATGTTCTTATAAATGTTGCCTCTAGAGACTACAGTAAAACGAAGTATAGCTATTGCAGAGTTATAGGATGCCTGTGTGGCCAGATTATGTATGTGTGCTGATTATGTGGACCTGTGTCTCCAGGTTATGTATGTGTCCTGATTATGTGGACCTGTGTCTCCAGGTTATGTATGTGTCCTTGTTATGTGGACCTGTGTGGTCAGGTGTGTATGTGTCCTGGTTATGCGGACTTGTGTGGCCAGGTTATGTATGTGTCCTGGTTATGCAGACCTGTGTGTCCAGGTTATGTATGTGTCCTTGTTATGTGGACCTGTGTGGTCAGGTGTGTATGTGTCCTGATTATGTGGACCTGTGTCTCCAGGTTATGTATGTGTCCTGATTATGTGGACCTGTGTCTCCAGGTTATGTATGTGGACCTGTGTCTCCAGGTTATGTATGTGGACCTGTGTGGTCAGGTGTGTATGTGTCCTGGTTATGCGGACTTGTGTGGCCAGGTTATGTATGTTCTCCTGGTTATGCGGACCTGTGTGTCCAGGTTATGTATGTGTCCTTGTTATGTGGACCTGTGTGGTCAGGTGTGTATGTGTCCTGATTATGTGGACCTGTGTCTCCAGGTTATGTATGTGTCCTGATTATGTGGACCTGTGTCTCCAGGTTATGTATGTGTCCTGGATATGTGGACCTGTGTGACCAGGTTATGTATGTGTCCTGATTATGTGGACCTGTGTCTCCAGGTTATGTATGTGTCCTGGATATGTGGACCTGTGTGACCAGGTTATGTATGTGTCCTGGTTATGCAGACTTGTGTGGCCAGGTTATGTATGTGTCCTGGTTATGCAGACCTGTGTGTCCAGGTTATGTATGTGGACCTGTGTGTTCAGGTGTGTATGTGTCCTGGTTATGTGGACCTGTTTAGCCAGGTTAAGTAGGTATCCTGGTTATGTGGGCCCAGGCTATGTATGTGTCCTGGTTATGTGGGCCTGTGTGGCCAGGTTATGTGGTATTATTTTAGTTTTGGCTATCCGAGGAATCTTAGGAATTGGGTTAGGTTAGATATACAAACTGTTTTCCCAATGTTTTTTTTGTGTTTTGAATGATTTGGACCTTGATATCTGTCAGAAATCTTATTTTATATGTCTAAATACAGGGATGATTAAACTATTTTTCACCAATTTCCACTAATCTGTTCAGGAATTTTTGTAATGCCTCTTCACTATCTGTGATAGCAGTATCATCTGCATAGTCTATGTTTTTGGTATTACTCTACCATAAACTTTTAGTCCTTCATTATCACTTATGACTTCTCTCATTAAGAATTCTTAATATGTATTATACAATGTTGGAAATAGAATACAGCTTTGTCTTACTCACTGCCTAACTGTGAACCAATTAGTGAGTTTATTATTTACTAACACCAGCCTCCCGTTGCTTTTTAAAAATCAACAAAGCAGGTGTATAAATTTTTTTGGACCTCTAAAGCCCCTTCACTCAAAATTCTAAAACCAAATATAGCTCCTCTACAGTAGTTCCTTTTCCTTTTCTAAATCCATTTTGCTCTTCAGATAACTCATTTCTATTCCAAATTTAATTTCTTAAATATGTATTTAATAAAACTTTGCAGGCATAACTTAAGCTAATTGTTCTAAACTGGGTGCACTCTAAGGCTCTTGGCTTTTTAGTATGGTACGATTAATAATACCCTGTACAAATATTGATTTTTTTTAAATGCTGTATTGGGAAGGTCTCCTTTGAAATAAAGTAGCTGTTCTGTACAAAGAATTACATATTACTGTATAGTCAAACATTTGATCCCTTTCTTGCCCATTTGTTTTATAAATTCTACTGGAAGCTGATAAACCCCACAAGCTTTACAATTTATCATTTTGCTCGCAGCTGCCTCAACTTATATTAAAAGAATTGGCATTTCGGTCTATATTTCCTTTTAGTTTCTTACCTCTACTCTATTCTTATCTTTTACTTCTGCTCAAGTAGGATCTTAATGTCTATGCTTTTAATTGTCCCACCCCATTTATTTCCCTTTTTCTGGTTCATTTGTTTAATCTTTTGGTACATTTTCCTTATGCCTTCTGTCCTCATCTTCATTTTCCTTGAATTTCCTTTCTAGATCATCTTCCTTGGCCTGTCTACAGTCCTTTTCAATTTTTTTATTATTTTTTTTGTAAACCTCCCTTCTATTTACCATATACTGTACTGTACTCTCTTCGCCTATCTATTTTCTTTGAAATTATTGTACAGTTTTCATCCACTCACTTTTAATCTCGTTCCTTCCATGTCCTATTAGTTTTCCCCAGTCTCTAATTGTAATTATTCAATTGTTGTCCTGGTTCATCAAAGTCACCCTCTAGCAATACTGAAATTTCATATTCTATCCCTGCCCCTGTTTAGAGTTTACATAAATCCCATTTGATTTTGTCCATAGTTTTTCTTTTTAATTTTTGAAGTTAAAGCCTCACTAAACTCATTTCTGGGACTTGACTCTATCCACAATTTGGCCCTGGATAGGTCTTAGTTTGGGTTATTGAATTTCTGAATCTTTCCTGAATTAAAATGTGATCTACAGGAGTATTTGATTCGTGACTAAGTTATTTTCATTGTCTTGGGGGTGAGACCCATGTATAGAAATGCTTAGGGTGTTGTTCAAACCATGTACGTATTTGCAATTATCATCTTGTTTTCCTTACAAAAGTCAATTAATATTTCTCCTCATTTCTATTACCCAACCCATGTGTTCTTACTTTTGGTGCTACTTTTCCTTTCCCAACTTTTGCATTAAAATCACTTATTATAATCAGACATTCATTAAACTTTACAGTGTCATATGCATTATTTAAATCTAAATTTTTTCAAAGACTTCATCCTCACTATCATTTGTTGGTGCATAAACCTGTATTATTACCAAGTCCATGGGTTTAGCATTTAACTTGATTAACATGACTGTCTGACAGTAGAACATAAGAATGAAGGAAACTGCAGCAGGCCTATTGCCCCATGCTGGGCAGTCCCATTTACACCCAACCCCCACCGCTCATATATCCATCCAACCTATGTTTGAAGCTATCCTGCGTACTCGAGTCAATGATGATGTTTGGTAACTTGTTCCTTTCATCCACTATACTCTATATCCAAACCAATGTTTACCTATTTTGCATCTAAATCTAAATTTGTCTAATTTAAAACCATTGTTATGAGTTCGCTCCTGACAATCTGGACCACACTTTGCACACCTCACAGTAGTTGGCAGAATACCATGAACCTTAAAGATGTCAAAGCAGTGGCTTCTTTTTCAAATACAGTACATGGCAAATAGTTTACCAAGCTGACGAAGAACATTCGTTGCACAGAGAATCCATTTAACTGTACAAGTATTGTTTGTGTTACAGCTGGTGCGTGATGCCATCAAGAAGAAGAAGAACGTTGAGACCAAGAGCTCAGTGGTAGATCTTGTGACAGAGTCAGACAAAGCAGTGGAGAAGCTGCTGATAACTGGCTTGTCTGGTGTCTTCCCTGACCACAAGTTAGTTAATGTAATTTAACATAACCTAGTCTTTAATAAATGTTTAAAATGGCTGACTTCAGCTCTGATACAAGCAAAAAACGAACAGGAGAGGTGAAGTGTTTCATCGAATTGTGGATGCTGCAGAACACATACAGAACGACCAATGCTCTTGGTAAGGTTACTTATTAGTGTTCTAACGAAGTAGAATGTGTATCCAAGCTGAAGATGGCCAGTTTGAACATTTATTATAGATTAAACTATCTTGGGCATATGCTGGAACTTTTCCCATGGCGGGGGTGGGGGGGGACAAAAGCATCCTAGGACAACAAAACACCCCTCAGTTAGAGTGCATAGTGAGACAAACTTCACTCCTTTTTTATATTAATGTTTCTCATGGTTAGGTTAGATTTGGTTAGAATTTTGTCCTAGGGTTTTTTTTTTTTTGAGGGTTTTGTCCTACACTCTGCAAGGACAGCTCCCACATTCGGGTTTGTGGGCTTAATAGTTCAGGGTTTGGGTTTTTATTATTTCCTGTACTATCAGTACTGTACTGAATAATTAACTTTGTACATCAACTTTTAGGAATTCATTAAGATGACTGTACATTGCAATATCTTAAATGTGTAAAGTATTGATAAACATCTTTGTTCAGTAGAAACAATCGGAGATTAACACCAAACAAAAATGTGCACATGTTTAAAACTTATCCCTAGTGTACAGTCAACAACAAAAATTTTCGTGCCACTTCCTGGGTGTGCTGAAGTGTTGGTATGCCTGCTCTAATTGCCAGGTATTTTCTCATGATAGAGATAAGTCATCTCATGAAGCGATTTATTTGTATGTATTCGAATAGTAATGAGAGTTTTGAGAACGTTTCACACAGAACATTAGTTTTGTTTGTATTCCTGGATTATAATGTTTATTTGTGACTTTTTTTCTTTCTTTTTTCATTTTTAGGGTGTTAGCCCACCCGGGTACAGGTCGCTGACTCACACGAGGGCCTGGGGGCAAAAATAGAATGATAAAAATAATAATGTAATTCTTCTCTTGTAAGCTTTGCTATTTGTAGTGGGTGAAGTGAATATTGTATAAGGTCATAGTTTTGCTTAGTTTCTGCGGCTTTCCAATGAAGATAATTATAATGGGAATTCAAGTATGGTACATAGACTGATCTACAAAAACATTCTTCGATAGTTGAGCCATTGACATTTGAATGGTGTTTCTGCCAACCACACTGTATGGGAGGAGTTACCGGTATTATTATTATTATAATTAGTATTACTATTACATTTTCGCCCCCCAGGCCCCAATGTGGGTCAGTGATCTATGCCTGGGTGAGCTAATCCCTGTTTAAAAAAAAAAAAATAAGATGCTCCCCAAAAAACTTTCGGTTTTCAGAGCTTTTCGGTTTTCGGAATTTCGGATAAAGGGTTGTCAACCTGTACTATGGCAAAATTACTTCAATATTTTTTAAACAAATTCAGTGGGGTATACTATAACGAACGGATCCTACTATGAATATTCCTATAACGAACGGTTTTACCTATAAAATTGAGAATGCTATAATGAACGAAACTCCTACAACGAACATTATTTATTTATTTATTTATTTATTTATTTATTTATTTATTTTTTTTTTTTACTAATTTATTGTTTTTTATTACAAGTATTAATGATATTCTTTATTTCAGGGGTTTAGATGCATATTTATGCACTTTTTTACAATTTTTACAATTTTATATTATAATTTTCAGTGTTAAGTGGTTATATTTGGGGGCCTGGAACGGATTAATCCTATAACGAACGAATGCTATAACGAACAAGGTTCTAGAACAAATTAGATTCGTTATAGCATACCCCACTGTACAAAACTTTTCTTACCTTATAACTTTGTGTTCCAACGAAGTAAATTACCGAATCCAATACGTACAGAGGTGGTCAGTGTCACGATGGTGTCTTGTACAAAACTGAAGTAGTTGGGTGAATGGTCTGCTCTTTATGACCTGATCTAAATTTACCAGCGATGTCAAACAGCTGGGCCTAGAGTGAAGGGAGTCTTAACTTCAGTTACTTGTTACCTGAAGTAACTGACCAAACCTCTCCAGGCCTCACGTACCGCACTTGCTTGCAGTCTGACCTCAGAAAAATGACCATGTTAATCCCCTTGTCCAACCAAGCATTGTTTTCCTATTACACAAGCATCTGCTGCCGTGGGGAACTGTCCCCTTTCTCAACAGAACCTCATTGTAAACATTTTCTTTAGGTGCAAATCACTATTCAAATACTTGTACTCATAGTTCCATAACTGTTCAGATTCGGACACATGTGTTTACAACATTTTTGACTGCAAATGACCTAAAAAATAAACTTATGAGGTATTGATATAAAGTATATGTAAGTATGTATTATTATGTTTTAGATTCATTGGGGAGGAGTCTGTAGCAGCGGGAGAAAAATGTGTGCTGACAGATGAGCCAACATGGATTATTGACCCCATAGATGGGACAATGAACTTTGTCCATAGTTTCCCATACACTTGTATCTCTGTGGCATTATGGGTAAATAAAGATGCCGAAGTTGGCATTGTGTACAACCCAGTGTTGGAACAGATGTTTACAGCTGTTAAAGGCCAGGGAGCCTTTTTGAATGATGAGAAGATCTCCGCCTCTGGACAGACAGGTGAGTGCTGTAACAAAGTTGCCTTGCACAGCTCATACTACACTCCTCACCTTTGCATTATGCACAGGGTCGTGGCAGACCTAAACAACAAGATGAAATATTAATAAAAAAATAATCTGAGACGTTAACAAACTTCCGGTGGTCTATAGGCCTCCCTTTTCTCTTGATACACTCCTGCAGGTGTGAAGGAACCGACTCTGGCAAGTTGTGGATTATTTGTGGGTCTAAATTATTTCACTCCTCACGACTGGCTGCCTCCAGCTTGGGGACGGTATTTGTGTCCTTGCCTTGTAAACGAAGCTTGACAATGTTCCGCTTATTTTCTATCGGATTAAGGTCGGGCAAATTGCTTGGCCAATCACTTATGAAGTTTACCTGACAGTCAACAAGCCATTGTATTACAGATTTTGCTGTGACATGGGGTACCATCCTGCATAAACATATCAGCAGGCCATTCTTCAAAAGACCCGGGCAAATAATCACAAAGCAGCTCCAAGTAGTTAAATTGGTTCATCATCACATTCCTAGGTAGCACAACAAGATCACCATTTCCAAAGTACGAGAGGCAACCTCACACCATTAGTGACTCAGGATGCTTAATTGTGCTAAAAGTGAACTTGGGGTCAAGTGAATCACTCCGGGGTGCCTGTACATAATAAAAATACGACTTCCAGTAAAAGAAAATGCTGCCTCGTCACCCCACAACACGTGCTGCCATTGGTCGTATCCCACTGAGCGTTAGCCTTGGCAAACGCGACTCTATGCTGCCTCTGGACAAGGGTGAGGAGTGGCTTCATGCGTGGTTGGTGGCTGCGAAAATGCAGGTCATCATGGATGCGGCGGTGAATGGTCCATACAGAAACATCACCTGGAAGTACAGGGTTTTTTCTTTCAATTCCTGTGCTGACAGACGTGGATTAGCATCAAGTTGCCTCTTAAGAACAGGTCACGTGCGTTGGGAAGTTTTTCGAGCCTTCTCTGGCCATACGCTGTGCACTGGTATTGCCAACCCGCCGTCATCTTGAAATTGTTTAATCCAAATCTGAACTGATCGTTCACTCACACCAACAATTCTTGAGACTTCCTTTACAGGTTTCTTGCCCTTAGGCAGACTAATAATTGATACTATCTGCTCTTTTGTTAAATCTTTCCTCTTGCCCATTGTGGTAAAAAAAAGCAAAGAAACAGCGGGTGTTGTGGCAATAAATAGGGGCAATTTCGGGAGGGGGGGGGGTAAAATTCATAAATCTTCGTTCACAAAATTTACTCGGGCAACTGGTGAACGTTTTGATTGCTGGCTGACTTGTCCTCAAGACTCCCTTCACCGCCAGACTTACAATGCCTGCCTCAGCCCCAGCTGGCTGGCATGGAGGGGTGTGAAACACTTCAGCAAAGATCACTTCCCGTCGGCCACCTCGCTCATAATGCAATGGCGAGGAGTGGAGTTGGAACAATAACCAGCAAGCTCCTCTTTGCTCTTCTAATGTGTATCTATCTTTTATTTTAAAGAAAATGTATATTAACAATACTGTACTGTATAAATGTTATGATAGTTTAGTTTAAGTTGTCATTAATCTCCGCAGTTATGGCTTGATTCAGGTTACTGTCACAACTGGCAATTTTCCCACCTTCAGCAGCATCTTGTGGTAAATATTATGATATCTTTTAGACCTAGGCCAGCCCTGGCACTCTTGTGATAAATATTATATCTTTCATTTCAGACCTGGGTCAGGCCCTAGTATTCTCAGAAATGGGTACAAGTCGTGACCCTGAGAAAGTTGATACAGTCCTTACCAATTTGACAACTTTAATAACCAAAGTTCATGGGTAAGTTTAATATTTTATCTGGTTTAAACATTAGAAGTTTCTGGCTCACTTGCTGATATGTTCTGGGTATGATATATTTTTGTATTTAATATTTCTTTCAATAAAATTTTAAATTTGTTTTACTAATCTTTTTAGATACACCTGTAGTTGGTTATCTTTTTAAATTGTTTCCATAGACCTGTAGGAAGATATTAAAGCCTGTACAGTATAGTACAGTATGTTATAAGTGAAGATGTTAATTGTTAGTTCAAAATATAGAAGCAACTTTAGAGAGAGTAACAAGTCACATTGTGTAAAGGTGCCGCACCATGGGCTCTGCTGCCCTACACATGGCTCATGTGGCGTGGGGCGTGGCAGATGCCAACTATACCCTGGGCATCCACTGCTGGGACATTGCTGCTGGTTATCTCTTGGTAAAGGAGGCAGGAGGAGTGGTTGTAGATACTGCAGGTACCTACAGTATTACAGGGTTTTACAGTTCAGTACTTTATACGTACAGGCTTACAGGGAGTATTTTAAGGCTTTTTAGTACAGTACGAGGTTTCACAGATACTAACACTCCTCTAAAGGTCTTTGTGTGGATATTCTCTTCTCTTTAATTTACAGTAATTTTATTTACTCTATTTTCATTGATTAATCACTGTCAAAATCCTATGTATGTCCAGCTGTATCTTAACCTCTTGGTTGCCACACATGGTAATGGATCGAGTGCTGAGAGTTTACCACACATGGTAATGACTGATAACTGACCTCTAGTGATGATTGCCCTGGTAATGACTGATAACTGACCTCTAGTGATGATTGCCCTGGTAATGACTGATAACTGACCTCTAGTGATGATTGCCCTGGTAATGACTGATAACTGACCTCTAGTGATGATTGCCCTGGTAATGACTGATAACTGACCTCTAGTGATGACTGCCTTGGTAATGACTGATAACTGACCTCTAGTGATGACTGCCCTGGTAATGACTGGTCTTTAGTAATGACTTGCCTCTAGTGATTGGTCTCTGGTGATGACTGGTGAGATTTGGTAATATAACACAATGGGATGGATTCACATTGATGTCAAAGTCTTTGTACTCTATAAAAAGTTACTACCAAAAGTGCATTTTTAAACTACTGATGTTAATTACTATAACAGGGGTGAGTGTCTTGTACTGCTGCTTGCCTATGTGGTGTAATGAACACCTCTTCACCGCAGTATTGGGATGTGGTGACCAAGGGCCTAATTTTTCATAATTACCATGAGTTGTAGGATAACTTAAGCAGATAATAGCTAAGTCGTGCATTATCAACAGTAATGTATTGTTATATACATGTACTGTACTTGTTGTATATGAGAAACTCACTGCTATGATGGTTGTTGGTTGGTGTATCATATATCAGCTGAGCCCAGAGTAGGCTGTAATTTGTTAATGACTTAATTTCAGCATTCGTGGAGTAGGTTCGGCTGCACTTTCTATGATGTATGTAGCAGCAGGTTGGGGTGATGCCTTCTATCACTGTGGGTTGTGCTGTTGGGATATGGCTGCTGGCTACCTAATCATTAAGGAGGCAGGGGGGTATTTATGCGACACTCAAGGTTCGTACTACTTTTAATACTCTCTGCTCTAACAACTGTTATTCATTTGCCTAACACCTTTTTTTTAAGAATTGATATCATCCAGATAATTCAAAAAAGTAGCTTGGCCTTGTGAAATTCACTTTTTTTTTAGGGACATGTTAAAATGTGACCCTTGATAACTGTTTATGGCTCTATTTGGGGTGTTTGTAGCCATCAGTTAAAGGCCCATAAGGATTAAGGACAGGCATTCAACAAAAACTGCTTGTTGGGAGGTGAGACAGGCATTAAAATATCTACATCAGTTTCTTGGGAACCTTTCCCCTGAATTTAAGTTTTGTTGCAATCATATATCCAGAAAATTTTAATTAATCTGGTTCTTTTTATGCACCTCCTCTGCTATCACAGGGCATGTCACAAGCATAGTCCATTGTCTACCACTAGTACTGTACTGTATAGTGCGTGTGACTCACTAGGACACGATATAGATCATTGTTTGCCATTACAGTAGTACAATATTGTAAGTGTGACTCACTAGGACCTGGGTGCAGGACAACTCATACTCAATGAAACATGTCAACTCATACCCATATATACATAAAGTACAGCCACTGCCATGAATTCATTTATAATACACAGGGAGTCAGTTAAAATATTAAATCATTAATACAACCTGGATTGAATCATTTTCTCTTTATAAACTGTTAAGGACAGTACTGTACATTTTTCCTTATATTTTTTTTTAAAGATTACACTGTAACCAAGTTTAAGTTTTAGAAATACAGTTAACAGTATGTATATGCACAAGTTTGTATCAGATTCACTAAATCGAGTACTGTATGCTGATCAGGAAAATGAAAACCGTTTTTGCATATCCAATCACATTTTATTGAACTTTTATTTAATATATAATTTTATAGAGTAAATTCAAGGCTTCATTCCCTTATAGTATACATACAAAACTTCCAATACTGTACAATTAATAGGAAAGATTTATGATTACACTGCCTCCTCGCTAAACATGGATTTGTTAAACACAGATTCGCTTGAACACAGGTTTTTGATTACTACATAGTATTGCTTAACACGGCTAAGATTTGCTCGAACACGGCTTGAGCCAGGCTAACATGGGAAATTTTGGTCAAATGCAGTCAGTTAGAATAGGTTTTGCACAGGCCAGCCAAGCCAGCTGATGCTTGAGTCTATTACAGTCCATGGGTAGTGTCCCCATGCCACCCACACGCCACGTGGGCCCATTGTTTGTATAGTACTTGGTCCGGCCACAACAAAACATTTCGCTGGGATTAACTTCAGTTTTATCGTCTGTTTTTTCTCACCATGGCTCCACTTAAGTGTTCTCCAAATGCCCTTCGGGGAATTAAGTTAGACATTTTTCAATGACTTGAAAGAGGCCATTGCACCTTCTCTATCGGGATGATTTCTCCATAAACAAGTCAACACACAAATAAATGTTTACTCCTTTTATGTTTTTGACCTTATGATTGTTATTTCTTTTACTTTTTTTGCACATTTTGTTTGTAGGATTGTTTGTGCATGTAACTTGAGTAAAAAAAAAGTGAAGAAAGTTAAGTTTATCTACCTGAAATATGAGTTGAAAAATAACCATAACATATATCCTCCCAGCTCATCCTGCTAACACTCACTGTTGCACAACGAAATTTTATTCCCTTTATGTATTTTACGTAATGAGACCTATTATTTGTTTTTACACATTCTGTATGTACTGTAGGATCGTATATGCATGTAACTGAATAAAAAAAAATATAAAGTTCTGTTTATCTACACGAAATTATGGCTCTAATCTTCTCAGCATTCCTCTTGATGCACCATGAAGAGGGATAATGAGGGCAGTCATGCATGACACAGCCAACGTCTGTGCATATGGCGGCTGTGTTAAACTTTCATTTAGCTTGTCCTTAATGGTTTTAGCTGCATATTTTCATCTAGATAGTATTTTATTAATGTTTTTAATGTGTTAGGTAGTAAATTATAGTAATTGTGTACTATTTATCATTAATTAGATAGATTTTGTTGTTGTGCTGGAACTGATATCATGGAAATGCCAGTGTCTCCACAACATTATGTTTAAGTGAATTTGGTAGATGTATGTGTATTCGTGAGCTACTTTAGAGCTGTACGATGTCTTTGAACTTTGGTGTATGTGTGGGGGGGCGAGGGAACTTTTTGGGGTCCACCTGATGTATCCCTTATCTCCCTGTGTTATAATGGGTTTGATCTACAGTGTTTTCTGGGAATGCAACCTCAGTGTTAAGTGAGGGGGGCAGTGTATATCAGTCATCTATATATATTAACATGTGCAAAGAATGTTATATACTGTAGTACAGGTTGAAACTCTCTAGTCCAGCATCCTTTAACTGCAGAAATTGTTAAGTATAGTCACCACAGAATTAGTAGAAAAGTCATTTCAATTTGTTAGTGTGCCTTATGAATAAAGAAAATACTGTACAGTAAGGTCTCGGAGTACACTATCCAAAGTGTCTGACCCCCTGAACCGCCCTTACACTTGGGTCTCACTTTTGCATGAGCCAACCCACTCAGCATATCTCACTAGCTCAGCATGTTTATCACTTGTCTGTATTCATTTGAGAAAAAATTAATATAAATAAAAGCATTAGTTGTACTATACAGTAATACCCTAGTTAGCTCTACCCCACAGAGCACTATTTTGTTATAATGCTCTTGCTTGCATCTTGGTGATCTAGAAGAAAAAAATAGTCAAAAGTCACGAGTCCTAACACTCACAACATGCTAGGTGCAACTCTGTTTTTACTCACTTGGCCAATCAGCTCCAAGTGCTCTCTGTTTACCACACACACACACACACACACACACACATACACATACACATTGGAATTAATACAGCAACGCATCAAGAGTGAGGGTGATGACTGTGTTGCTGGTTTAGCGCTTTGTTATATAATATTATATTAAGTGTAGGTCTTATTGTATGACCTAAAATTGTGTGTGGTTAACTGAAGCACAAGTGCATGTCAGCATGGTGATGAGCTATAGATCAGCTGTTGAAGAGCGCTTAGCAACACACCTGTTGCGTGTTGCCACTCCTTTCCACTCCATCTCTCTAATCACCCATACCTTTCTGCTTTCCCACTCCATATTTTAAAATGTTATGTAATGTAATATTAAAGGGATACAATGTTGCTCATTTATACTGTACAGTGATCCCTCGGTTAACAAGCGCCTCGGTTAATGAGATTTCGGTTAACGAGTTACCTTCCATAAGATTCTTAACTTCGGTTAACGAGCAATCCCTCGATTAACAAGATTTTTACGAGCCGACCTCAACATGTTTTCGCTTGCATTTGGCGGTCCACCAGCTGTAGTATTAGTCCGCCAATACAGTAATCGGTTCTAGGGCTTAAATTCCTTACTATTT